CCATTCGAAGCCATCAAGGCATTCGTGTTCGTATTACTAAATAAAGTGTGGTTGGTATTCGCAGGATCGGGAATTGAGATACCATTTCGAGAAAGCGGCACGACACTCTCATCGTGACCGCCGATAACTAGATTTTTGATCCCGCGGACCGAATGGTAAACAGTCGTCGTGACAAAACACGTCATTTCGGATCCTCCCGAACCACTAACGGTGCTTTTAGGTACCCCAAGGACCGTTCATCGTTCTCGTCCAACCCGTTGCTTGCGTTCGGCTAGTAAATTAACCCACAGACACAGCCCACTGAGTTTTTCGCCGGATCCTCCCAGTCGCGTTTCCGATCCGGTGGTAGATTCTGCGAAGCACTGTTCTTGCTATGAGTAGTGTTAGCAACGACATCAGGTTTGAGCCCCGTGAGCTCACCTACTAGATAAGGTTACGCTGAAATGGTCTCTCAAGACCGTCAGCTTAGGAAGGAAAAAAAATGAGATATTTATATCCTCAAATTGAATGTTACAAACATTTCTAATAAGCATTTTAACCATAAGTTTATTTTGATTACGTTTCTTGTGTAATTCAAATTAGGCATATGCATTTTACGTAACATAAACGGTGTACGTAAAATAGATGCGTTGATAATTGTAGCTGGCACTCGTTTAGTTTAATTACGATTGGTACCAGCGACGATCGAGATCAAGATTGCTTGCTCGTTCATCAACATTAGCAAATAATATGCCAATTCATTAGTGTTTCTATTTACAATGGCGTTCCAACCTTGCCTTAGTTTGGCAGTGTCCGGTATGACCTCCAAAGACTGCACCCTAAGGGAAAAAGGGGCCTTTCGATTTTATGGCTATTGATAAGTGATAGATTACTTATCTTTAAAAATACGGTCTGTACGCCAAAATGTATGACTTGCTTAATGATAAGAATATTAGTCATACTAGACGTACTTTTTTTATTTTTATTTGAGATTATAGCATACCATAGGTATATTTGTACGCCAGGGCGTTTGTGATGTGAACAAAAAAAAAGTAGATATTTACAAAGTTGCGCCGTGACCCGTATGAGTATGCAGCGACTTGGCTTGGTGACTTGGCATTATGAAGTCCACGAGCGTCGATAGCCTTTTACTATAAGGTGGGCCGTATGCTCGTCTGCCTAGAAAGGCTATAAAAATACCAGATGCTCCGCGACAAATACGATAAAGTTGGCCTACGTTTATGGGAACACTTGGTATTGGATCGTCTGGCTTAATTTTGTCATACAGTAAACATTCCGGTTCGGATAGACGGGATATTGCGATATTTAAATGCGTGATTGAATTAATGTCTGACGGTAAATTGTCTACGTTGTCTTCTCTCAAGGCCTAAGGGGTCAGTTGATCCCCTGAAAAGAAGGGAGCAGCGAGATTAGTTATAGGTTTACGTCTGTAAAACTGCATTTTATAAAATATGTGAGATGCGTCTTACTGTGAGATCAGTGAAAAGTATTATAAACCCAGTTTCGGGTTACATCAACACCGAGCTTTAAAATACCCTGTAAAAAATTACCACCATCAAGGGCGTTGTCTCGTCTGTACCTACATAATAAAAAAAAAACAAAATGTGTGCAATTCACACGTGGTAGAAGTGAAACCTTCCAAAATTAAAATACAATTATCCTAAACGTCTTAAGTATATGTAAAATTTTGTCATTAGTAAATAATTGTAAGGTAGCGCCCTCTGTGAATTGATATTTTAATTTCACGTATAATCCTAAATTAAAATTCACAAGAGCTTTCATACACACGTTAGTTTTAAAAAATCTCACAGGTGGCGCTGTATTAAATAGTATGTATATTTCTGTCTCATTCTTTGCTGGCTTCATCCTACACATTTTTGTATTTGTGTCTCTTACCTGTCGTTTTTTCCGTTGCATCCGGTTTGAAATCACAACGATTCTAAAGAAGTTTTCACTTCAAAAACGATTTCAAATTTTTATATTCCTATAAAATATTACGCGTCAATTTAATAATAATATTACGCGTCAATATAAACTAATGCGATAAATAACAGTGCTATATTATCGCAAAACGGATTCCAATCGTATCTAATTAATTCTTATTGTATGTAACACGTAACATAATTTTCTTTATTAATGATTCAACTCAAGTCAAACGAATTCGGGATTCTCAAAATAAAGTTTTGCTCCAGTGAAAGATTAGAAATTGTGAAATATTATATAAGTCGACACTAATAACAATGTTTTTCAACAAATAGACCGTTAGATCTGTCATCCGGCATGAGATAACATCAATTTATAAACACGGATGTTCATCATTGTAACTTTGATGATATATATTTAGAATTGATGTGGCTTAATCCACAATTCTTATTTTTGGGTAAACTCCAAAAATGTAATGCAAGAATTGTTATTTTTTAGTTTTTCGATTTTAATCAATTAAGGTATGTGCATTATTTGAAAGAGATGGAAAGAGTACTTTGTCTTTTTCTAGACTAAAAGTGACTTTAATTTTATAAACCGTGACATGTTTATAAGTCGTTCGAAGTATAAAACTCTATACTATAACTATACTGAGACCTTAGAATTTACATCTCAAGATGGATGGCGCATTTACGTTGAAGATGTCTATGGGCTCCAGTAACTACTTAACGCCAGATGGGCTGTGAGCTCGTCCACCTAACTAAGCAATAAAAAAAATCCTTACATTTTTAAGTTAAGCCCCTTCACTTTTAAACGTGCGATATATATGTATGTAATATGTAGATACGTTACGTTGTAGGTACGTGTGGTACTTTTTGTGCAAAAAAACGATAAATAATAAGTATTTGATCCGTTTTTACAAAGTTTTTACTGGTCCATATTAACAAAGGAGTCTTATAAATTAAACTTGAGCCGACCTATATTAAGTGTATGTTAATTGTAGGTCTCTTTGCTAGGGCTTGTGTTAGCAAATTCTCTCAGGTTGAGCCCATGAGCTCCCATGACCCGTTCGGACGTTGCTGAAATATCCTCTCAGGCTTAAAAAAAAGTAGGTCTCCTCCTTATATTTAAATATCTCCTACGCTCTCGGGCTATATGCTTCTTAAAGACCGCTGTCACCAAATTATCCTTGAACGTAAAAGTACAGGTAAGACGCGGTCACCAAATCACAGGTCGCTAACACCACAAAGTAATGTTACGTTTTAGTGACAGGGTCGATTCCCTGCTGTGTCAAGGTCGACGGAGGTACTGTAACGGTGTGAACGATTTGCGGCTTAATTACGAAAATATTGATTTAAGGCGTTGAACACACGACTCGTCCAAGTTAATCATAGAGAGCGCCCGCCGTGTAATAAAAATCTAACAGGGCCGGTGCAATGACCTATTGACACATCCACGAATTGCGGTTGGCCGAAAAAAACGAAACTCGGAAGCAATTCAATGAAATAATAACGAAATAGACGGAAGGTGTTATAGGTATCGATTTACACATTGTATAGATTACTATGGCAAACATGTAGATTATATTTTGGTGATTTAATTTGATTGATTTTCCTGTAATAATTGTTAATTTTCCAATTTAAATATCAGCCAAATATTTTCGTTTAGTATTAGTCTATAAGATAAACTCTTTGCCGATTAACTTAAAACTATCTCTAGGCTTCAAGGATCTTATGAAGAGACAATAATTTTATAACTTCGCTCTAAAATCTTGGCTAATACCAACAGAAAAAAAAGTCATTTCTCATTGTCATTTAAGCGTGTTTTTTTTAAAGTTTAAATTACATAGATATATTTCTCTAACTATTATGGCTGCCAGTGTTGACAGCTAGCCGTTATTGTATGCTGCGTCACTATGCGTGTGTGTACGTACGAAAATTGCATCACACGTTGTAGCTGTAAGGCCTCATACCCACACAGTCTGAAGCGTCGCGGTCGCCGTCAGCGATTGGAAGTTAAATAATTAAATAAATATACTTAATGAACACGCCGAACCTAGATGAGCTTATTGGTAGTTAATGGCTCTAGTATTCACCTCACAAGTTTATGTTGTACCATATTATTGTATGTATGTCATCCGAATTGCTCCGTTTCATTATGAAACAGCAATAAGAAGTTGATGATTATTATAATGAGATTCTGCATTACCCATGTAAATTCAAAGGCTTGGAAGAATCAGCCCTATACACAATTACATAAATTCATTATGATCGAGGTGATATTTTCGTCATACATGCTCCACGCTTGTTGAACTCGGCCTTCTTTCTATCACTACATATATGACTAACGGGATTTCAAAATTATCTGGTAAAATTTACATTGTAAGCAACCCAGCGACAGTTGCAATACGTATGCACGAGCACTTAGCCTGCAAATGTGTATGGCGAACCAAACCGTGTTATTACGAAACACTAAAACAGCCTCGCACTAAAAAAAAATTTCCGCGTTTCTCTTTTAAGAACCTAGCTTTGGCGAAAAGAACGAATATGATTACACTGATCGAAATATTACGGTTTACGATTTCTGAATCTACCTTTAAAAAAAGGCGCCCCAACGAAGCTTATGTTTGCTGTGAATCCGTTATAAGTTTGTAAAGATTGAACAGTGACTATTACATTACAAATCCGATTGCGATTTCAAAAGCCTGTAATTCGATTGATCATAAACGTAACAGCAGCAAGTCTGACTACTGTTGTTAAACAACACAGATATAATGTGCCGTCAAAATAACATCAAAATTACCGCTAGAGCATGGCTTGTTGCCGTCGACCGTAATCTTTTTCGTCTTTCTCTTTTCGTCCTTTTTTGTGGACTTTCCGCATCGCGCTTACTGGTTTTAATAAATCAAGTCAACACGATCATCTTCAATTTAAAAACATAGGCTTCGAGAATTGTCATAGCCATAGCTTTAACTTCAAAACTGTACACTTTTATTGGGAAGCATCAACGTGAGATCAACTTCGTGCTGTGTATGTATTAAGAATAAATTAATAATAATTTTCATTCTCTATTTTCAGGTTTGATGAAAAGGAAAGCATCTCGGGCGTGCAACAGCTCAAGTCCTCGGTCCAGAAGGGCATAAGGGCTCGCCTTTTGGAACTGTACCCTCATTTGGACAACTACATTGACCAGATCTTACCCAAGAAGGATACGTTTAGGATTGTCAAATGGTTAGTCTTACAATCATTGCAGCTCATTGACGCTCTTTCGACAGATGTTTGACTGCAGAACAGTGCCGGATTCGCCATTTAGCTGGAAGGACATATGCTATGGAGAACAGCTAAGTACCTACTTAAAGACGAGCATGCAAAGTACTTACTACCAGTAGTAAAACCGTACAACTAGTTTAAATTGTTATAGCCGTGCTCATACTGTAGTTGAACAAGTACATTAAAATTATAAATATTATTATTTTGCATATTATTATGCAAACAACATGATCACGGGTGGACTAGTGAACAATGCTCGCAATTTAAGGGCTCGTTTGGTCATATATGTTAAGGGTCCCGCGTTAGTTCTATCCGGCACTGATGTAGAATACAGACTTTTATTGGTGTTAGGGTTTTTTTTAGCTTGCAATGCTACCGCTATCTTGCCTATTTCTGTCCCAAAGCCATTTTGTGTTCCGGTTTTATGGGAGAGCATGAAATGCCATTGTGACTTCGAACTTGTGTCTTAAGGTGCAAGACAGCATTAGCGTTGTGACGTTTATCGTTCCGTGAGCTTGTCTACCCGTCTAGAGCGGTAATAAAAAACTACCTCCCAATTCAGTTTCAGGTTCAGTTTCTGGAATAATGTTCCATGATTGTTTTTCCGCCCTGTCATAGTAATACGAAATCAATTTTTGACGGTATACTTTAAAATTCCAGTCACGATCACCTCGAGATAATGGTGAACAGTGCCGGCGACTTGCTATTCTTCAGACATCGCGAGGGTCCCTGGATGCCAACCTTAAAACTACTGCACAAATGTAAGAGAGAAAGTTCAATAATTTATTTTTTATTTTTTTATTGCTTGTGTGGGTGGACGGCCCACCTGATGTTAAGTGATCACCGGAGCCCATATACATCTACAACGTAAATGCCGCCACCTACCTTGGGATATTAGTTCTAAGGTCTCAGCTTGTACAGTACAACGGCTGCCCCACCATTCAAACCGAAACGCATTACTACTTCACGGCAGAAATAGGCCGAGTGGTGGTATCTACCTGTGCGGATACACAAGACGTCCTACCACCAGTAATTACGCACATTATAATTTTGCGGGTTTTGATTTTTATTACACGATGTTATTCCCTCACCGTGGAAGTCAATCGTGAGTATTTGTTAAATACATATTTCATTAGAAAAATTGGTAGGTACCTGACTGCGGGAATGAAACACCGGTGCATCCGAAGATACGAATGCACCGGACGTCTTATCCTTTAGGCAACGACAACCTAAAATTAGTTTTATCTGTTTCTAGGTGTTAGGGCGAGCGTGTTTAACGCCGGACTGGTAGATAACACAGAATATTTTTACGATGTAGCACCCGTAATCTTAAGTTCTACAGTAGACGACGGTAAATATTGCACACCGACTGTTGGAAAGAGACAATTAGTTTATTTCGGTTTCTCTCTGTCGCACACTACCTATAGGTACTGAGGTTTCTGAGTTGTTGGTCAAGTGCTGTACGGTGCGTTGTTGTACAACGCACCGTACAGCGGTACCATGCGGTACTAATAGTTGACGCTCTACGAAGCCGAAATAAGCCAAATATCTCTTTCTGAAAGTCGATGTGTAATATTTATCGCCAGGTACTGTATTTTGAAATTTCGAGTGGTTTTTTCAATATTTCAAGGCGGGTAGGGGCGATTTAGTTGTGTTTTTGTGGACTTCAGCTATTGATTAACGTTAGGCGGGTAGTTAGCTTTATTTTACATCAAAAACAGTTTCTAGTCAATTTTCAAAGTATCCGAGTTGATCTAACCACGATTTAGGTGCATAAACCTATTTCTGCCATCAAGCAGTAATGCGTTTCGGTTTGAAGGGTGGGGCAGCCGTTGTAACTATACTGAGATCTTAGAACTTATACCTCAAGGTGGGTGGCGCATTTACGTTGTAGATGTCCATGGGCTCCAGTAACCACTTAACACCAGGTGGGCTGTGAGCACGTACAAACATCTAATGTTCACAATAACAAAATCTCGTTCTAATTAGAAACGAGATTTTGTTATTGTTTAAAATAAAACACGTAAGATCAGTGAAAGGTTTTTAGCAAAGTTTCATTTTGGAAATACGCAACCGTAATTTTGGTTATTCGCATTATTTTAGGGAAAATAAATGAAGTGTATAATTTGCTTTTTATGATTCGATAAATAACAATTATCGTCATTGCTGCCTTATTGTATTAAGAACCAGACAATTATTGGAAATAAGCATAATGATATTATTTCATAAATTTCCTCATACCTGTCTGACGTATAAATGGAATTTCCCTGTTGTTTTTTCTAATATTTTTGCTAATGCGGTCAACCTTGTATGATGTGGCTGTTCGTGGAAGAAACAGGCAGGAATTTCTCGTTGTCATTAATATGTTCCTAATATATTACCGTCTGTACCGTACCGTAATTATATTATATTACGGCAAGTCCTTACGGATCCAACAGATCCAAGAACCTTTGCATTAGACGCCTCCAGCTCTAGCACTAGGAGCAGGCTTAGGAACCCCGGTAACCGCACTCGTTGAACTTGACAAAGAGTTCGACGTGCAGCCTAACCCATTCACCAACTCGCTGAGTTTCTCGCCGGATCTTCTCAGCAGGTCGCGATTCTGATCCGGTAGTAGATTCATTCGCGAAGCGGCTTGTTAGATCTCCTTCGGAGGCGCTCGGGCAGCTGTTAACAAATTCCACCCCTCCTGGTTAAGCCTTTGCTCACCCTCCTGCTCTGGTGAAACTGGAGAGGCCTCCGGGCTACCAGTAATACCTCAAACAAAAAAATAGGATAAAATATATTAGGTACGTCTGAGTGCACGTATCTAGTCTGGAACTGAGGTCGTCTTGTCTTCGGCTGAACATACCTAGTCGACGTCAATGAATTATCTCCTTACACTCACCGTTCAATAACCCTATGAGAGTGGCAGAGTATTTGAAGAATGAGAACGTCGACTTCCAACCATTCTACTTAAAGTCTACCCTCTTCTTCTTTGTCTCCTTATCCCACTAGGTGGGGTCAGCACAGCGAAATTTGTATATTCCATTCTATCAGCCGTCTTCTCAACATTTACTCTTAGTCACATACATCTACTTTCGTTTTTTTTTAGCCTTGAGAGGCTATTTCAGCTTCGCTTTGTTGTGAGGTCACGGGGTTCAAACCGGAAGTGTTGCTAACAATGGTCCTAGCAAGAGCAGTGCTTCGCAGAATCTACCACCGGATCAGAAACGCGACCCACTGAGAAGATCCGGCGAGAAACTCAGTGGGCTGTGTCTATGGGTTAATTTACTCGTCGATCCTTTGGTCGCAAGCGACGGGTTCAGCGAGGACGGTAAAAGCACCGTTAAGGGATCGGGAGGATCCGTAATGACGTGAGGCTCTCTACGCATCACATTTATTTATTTATTTATTCTACTTACAAATTAACAGTATAAACCAAAACATTGGTAAGGTATTAATAATTAGCTTCAGTAATTTCTAACAACAACAATAAATCGCTGCAAACCATCATGGAATATATCCATTTCCGGAGCATAGGCTAGCAGGCCATTGAGTAGCGAGACAGCACGATGAGTCGGAGAGTTAGCGGTGTGTTGCTATGTGCACATGTCCATATCACGCTAATCGTACCGTACTAAATACCGTTACTAAATAAAAATCTGTGGAAACTTCTAGATCCGTTCTTCGTTCCGATGCAGCAAGTCGATAAAGGCGCTATTCGCTTCGTGCTCAGCGGCGCGAACATCATGTGTCCGGGGCTGACTTCAGCCAACGCGAAGATGTCTCCGAGCGACAAGGGTCAAGTCGTCGCCATAATGGCCGAGGGGAAAGAACATGCTCTAGCTATCGGTATCACTACTCTCTCAACAGAAGACATGTGAGTTATTGAGTTTAAATAGTTAATGGCTTTTATTAGATAGGCACATGACCCTCTTGGTCTTTGGTCACCAGTCACCTGGAGACCTGCGATCTAAGTCTTAATTTTATTGTATAATAGTTGTCGCATCCTTCGCTGCTTTGCGGCAGAACTATAGTAGAATTATTTTGTCCGTGCAGTTTGGGTCATAAAAAATCGGAGCGGTGATGCGAGTATTTCGCTCTCTCTTCCACTCACGAGCCTTATGGACGGGCATAGTGATGCGCATTATTGTTGTCGAGAAGCGTTATCGATAGTGTATTTAATTCTGTCATTTTGTGGATTAGTGATAAAAATGAAAGAAAAAATCACTAATCGCATTACACCACATATCGCCGCAGCAAGTTAACGAGAACGGCAGAAATTAACACTTTGTAACTTTTCGGGATCTATTCTTATTTCAGTGAAAATTTTTAACACATTGTTGATAACAACACGTGCAAATATTATTTTGAATAAATTCTGCCGTTTTGATACAAAACAAAGGAGTAGCCATTGTGTCACTAAAGAAATTCACAGAACGAATGCATAAAAACACATTTCTCTTCGACATAATGTACTATAATTTGCAGGTAAGTACAAATGACTCTTATATATAACAATGTCTCACCACCCTTAGTATACCATCCCGCCGCCGTGTACCTGCCTTCGATGACTCATTTGTTTTTATCGATAATGGCGTTGCGCCCGCGCAACATGCTCACCGCCCTAGCCGGGCTATGTTTTATGACCCAAACTGCACGGACAAAATAATTCTACTATAGGCAGGGTGCTGGAACACGCCCGTGATGGCTTTAAAACACGTGTATCCAACACCACCAGTAAAACCACTTATTGAGAGAAGAGAGTGCATAACACTTGTGAAATATATTCCCACTATATAGTACACACCGTTCTCGTCGAACCCGTCGAATGCAATGAATGGTTCGTCCTGATGAAATGAATCCACAGACACAGCACACTGAGTTTCTCACCGGATCTCAGTGGGTCGCGATTTAGATTCAGTGGTAGATTCAGCGAAGCACCGCCCTCGCTAGGGTTAGCGTTAGCAAATTCGCTAGGCTGAGCCCCGTGAGTGAGCCCGTGAGCCTACATGTTCGATGAAGCTAGTAAAACCCCTCAAGGTTATTATTAGCTTGATAAATGGGCATAACTGTTTTTTTTTTCAGAGCTAAAGTGAACAAAGGCGTCGGCGTTGAAAATTGTCATTATCTCAATGACGGGCTGTGGCAGATGAAGGCCGTGAAGTAAAGTAACAAATAGAAGGCGACGCGTGATCGATCGAGATGCTCGATTAACTTGTAACTGGCTTTACTAAATTGTATTTAATAAAAAATAACTTGCGAAAGCAATTCGGTCGTTTCATTGGAAAATACACATGGAGTGATTAACTTTTTTACATGATAGTCCCAAAATGTATTTCGAGTGTACCTACAGTGTGCATTAAATGGGCAACCTTTGCATTAGACGCCTTCAGCTCTAACACTAGGAGCAGGCTTAGGGACCTCGGTAACCGTACTCGTCGAACTCGACAAAGAGTTCGCCGTGCAACCTAACCCATGAATCAGCTCGCTGAGTTTCTCGCCGGATCTTCTCAGCGGGTCGCGATTCCGATCCGGTAGTAGATTCATTCGCGAAGCAGCTGCTCTTGAGCTGTTAGGTCTCCTTCGGAGGCGCTCGGGTAGCTGTTAGCAAATCCCACCCCTCCTGGCTGAGCCTTTGCTCGCCCACCTGTCCTGGTGAAACTGGAAAGGCCTCCGGGCCACCAGTAATCCTTCAACCATAAAAAAAAAAAAAAAAAATGGGTTTATTAAGTTTTTCACATGACTGTCCCATTAAATGAAATTAAGCCGTTTTAACGTGATACGGACCCAAGATTCGTGATGACAATATTTTTGGAGAAAAATGAAAATATTCTACGTTTGCAAACGGCTTGCAAATTCAGAAATTAGGAAATTTGCGTATAGGTTTTTTTATCCTCAATTTGAATAATGCTTGAGGTCAGGAAGCCGAACAAAATGCTATAACTTCAAACGAGGCTTGTGGAGAGTATTAAGCGGTAGGCAGCGGCTTGACTCTGCCCCTGGCATTGCTGAAGTCCATGGGCGACGGTAACCACTCACCATCAGATGGGCCGAGTGCTCGTCTGCCTGCAAGAGCAATAAAAAAAAATAACATCTAGATCTTCGTTTTCGAATGGAAAGAATAAATGATCTGTTGTTGCGGTAGGCAGCGGCTTGGCTCTGCCCCTGGCATTGCTGAAGACCATGGGCGACGGTAACCACTCACCATCAGGTGGGCCGTATGCTAGTCTGCATACAAGGGCAATAAAAAAAATCTCCCCTCGAGATAACCGCTTAGTATGATTAATGAAGCTAAATAAATACTTGGTTTAATTAAAGAAGCAAATTACTCTTAATAGTACCTACGGATGATTACCGACAAGCTCCAAAATTCTCAACCTCCATTAAACAAGACTTTCAATTTTCTAATTGCTTAGATAAGTGAAAAGGCTCACGGCCCGAGTGGTTAAGTGGTAACTGAAGCTCATAGACATCTAAAGCCTAAATACTGACACCCACCTTATGAAAAGAGTTTTATGTCTCAGTTTTACAGTACAACGGCTGCCCCACCCTTCAAACCGGAATGCATTATTTCTTCGCTGCAGAAATAGTCAGCGTGGGTGGTACTTACCCGTACATGATCACAAGTATTCACAAGCCGCCTTTACCCCCAGTAATTACGCTGATTTAAATTTTGCGGGTTTGATTTTTATTACACGCCCAGTCGACACGAATTCGGGTGTCTTATGTTTTAGGCCACGGTGACTTCGATAGTTATAGTGATTGTAGTCACATAGGTGTCGATAGGCAGTAGGGTAATAGGTATTAAAGATAATATGTATTAGCGTTTTATAATTGTGTCGAGGCTCCTAGGCTCCTAGCGCCAAAGAAGAAATTGTTAAAAAAGTTAAAGTTGTTAAAAATTATAAGATAACTTTATCGTAAATAATTTTTAGCAAATGGAAAGCTAATTAAAGAAGTAAATCCAATGGAGTTTCTAAAGCTATTCTGAAGTCTGCGATCTTGGTTACTACACATTATACTACATACTAAATAATACTAATCATAATCATTTTTTATTTGTTTGGTTTGTTCCATTTTACGCTACCAAAATGAATCAAACAGCTTCACATATTTTTTTTATATAATGTCAAGCATAGTATTCTTATTATCTAAAATTTATACTTTGATAATTTGAAGTTTCTCAATAAGACGACTTTCATTTTGTCAATTTAATTTATTTACATGATAACCAGGAGATTGTTGGACTTTGGACTGTTTGAGTTTCGACCGATAGCGATGATTCCATGAATCATCGTGAATCGGAACGGCAGTTGTTTTAAAAATGGCGGTGGCTATTGTTAGTTCGGCTCGACAGGGTAAATAAAATAATTTTTTAAATTAAACATGAAGCGAAATCAATCTAAAGTGCTTGTTTTGTTAATTAGTCACACAAATAAATTAAGAGTTTCTGAAAACTTTAATGACCTATACAGAAAAAAGTTCTGTTATGTGACGTTGCATATCAGCTGTTTGTTATTTAAATTTTGGAACATTGAAAATATTTTCTTAATTTAATACACGTTCACTGTTTATTTTCTACACAAAGGTTTAATTAAGTTATGTCAAATTACATTAAATAACGAATATTACGCAATGTAAGGCCAAATATAGTGAGATCAAAGTTCAAATTTTGAAGTTTTCAGTCATTTGTTTTGATTTTGATTTAATAAAAATTCTCGTATTATTTTTTTAGTGGGGAGGCTAACAAACGCAGCCAGGAGGCTTTATTCTGATGTATATCCTAAAATAACAACCCATTATACAATACATCCAAGAGATAAGGATCCAAGATGGAAAGGTATGTGATGATAACCTTGGATTGGTATCAATATAATTTTACGTCATAATTATTAACAACTCGTTGGTAACAATTAATAAATTTGATAACATTAGCTTTCGAAAAGATGTCTTTTGCTTACAAAACATTCCATAATTTTATTCAAAGATTATAAAATAAATTCTATTTAAATAATTGAGAACAATGTTTAGAGGTAAATATGGAACGCGTAGCGGAGGAGACGGACATCCTCATTATTGGTGGGGGCCCAGCGGGTATGGCAGCTGCAATCCGAGCGAGACAAATAGCAGCTGAAAAGGGGGCAGTGAGTAATTTATATATTTCACTATATTATAAATGCTCAGTATGCCATGATAGGAGCAGAAAATATGCATGTTTATTACAATATGTGGATTTGTGAAGCACTATAGAACAATAAAAAAAAAACAATTGTAGAGATGACAAGACAGGGCATAAGTAAAGTATAAAATATGACATATTTCAGGAAGTAAGAGTGACTTTACTAGAAAAGGCGGCAGAGACTGGAGGGCATATATTATCAGGAGCCTGTGTTGATCCGATAGCTTTGAATGAGTTAATCCCAGATTGGAAAGAGAGAGGAGCTCCTATGAATACTCCAGTTACATCGGACAAGTTTGGTCTGTTGACGAAGAGTAGCAGAATACCTATACCTGTATTTCCTGGTATGTTTAAAAATGAAATGTAAAATCTTTTTAAATATGAAAAAAATAAAAATCTAATTTCTAATTCCAAAAAATATCATCTAAAAATGAAATTTTCGTTAACATTAATGCTCAGGCACCACCATTTTATTAAACTCTGGTTATTTGTGTCTCCATATGATATCTTTCAAATGATGGAGGAGACCCCATGGGACTACAAGTGATTCTTTAGGTCTCGATGTTTTCAAACTGGAACTGCTTCTTGCCCAAATATAGAGATATTCTATTTTAAACATAGTGGGTAGCTATAATAGAGACTGGTAGATAAGAGAGAGGATTTCAGTCAGAGTTTTTTAAACTACGCTTGTTAATTTTACAGGTTTACCGAATTACAATCATGGTAACTACGTTGTGAGACTGGGACATCTAGTTAAATGGCTTGGTGAGCAAGCTGAAGAACTCGGTGCTGAGGTAAGATATGGTCCAATATCCTTCTCTCAATATCTTCTACGCCAAATTATTGTAATATTCTGAAGATCCCACTGAACATACCCTACTAAAAATATGAACATAAAGATTTTTGTTAACAATGCACTGTTCTGTTGGTTGATTGGTTGTGAATTAGCAGTATGAATTACTAGTAAATTTTTTATGATTTTGTGGAATATGAGTTTTCATGACTGCAGGTATTAAAATTATGTTGGTATTCGAAGAAGTAGTCACACTTTCATGAGTTCAGTTTGATGGTAAAGTTTGTTTAACTGGTTTTAAAGTGATTTTAAAAACTTTTATTAATAGGTATTTATAGAGGTTGGTCTTTGAAACATATCAATACATATCTTTATTTCTGTCCATTTCTATCTGTTACGATTTATGTCCTAGGCATTTCGAGTAAGAAATTGAATATAAAGTGAGGTCATTTTAATAGGTAACATTTGACAATTTATCAAAATTCAACAACGTAACCTTGTAACGGCTGGCATAACTTTGAACTGCACCCTTTTTTCAATTACGATTTCATACTTATTGTAATAATGACCGATAAGAGTAATTTTACAATTTGCTTTCACTAATAAACCCTTTTAAACATACTTAATAAACAAATTCTTATCTAAAGAACATTGTTAACACTTTTAATCTCACAGTAGTATATGTTAAGGTATGTACATGAATATGTGAAATTGATATGTAAATAAATGGTGCTATTATAATACATTATTTAATAATATGAAATATTTTAAATTGATTTACAAAACTTGGGATGTAACCGCTTAAAAGCTTTGGTGACGATTGTTCTATATCTTTCACAAAAAATCAATTCACCATGTTGATTTGTGTATTTGAATAGAGTTTGAATTAAGTTAGCGGCAGTGGCGGATTAAAGGTCCAGAGCGCCCTAGGCAATCACTTTATCGATGCCCCTGTACCGGCCATAAATGACCATCATAATACTATAAATTTAACTAGTTGTTATCATCAAACCCTAGACTTTAGTAGATCAGGACATTTAATTCAGACATTTAGTTCTTAATCGTCGATATGTTATTTTCTTTATTTATTTAAAATTCTGAGCTCGCGTGCCCCTTGTAACTAGACGCCCCTAGGCACGTGCCTAGTTTGCCTTACGGATAATCCGCCTCTGGTAAGCGGCCTCATTTTTATTTTACTTTTGTAGAAAATATCAGTTTAAATGTATTATTGTAAAGAATATTTGCTATCTTGTTACATTGTTAGGGAGTAGATATTGTTGATTTTCGTGGTTACGTGCAGGTGTGGCCGGGTTGCGCAGGAGCCGAGGTGCTGTACCGCGAGGACGGGTCGGTGCGCGGGGTGGCCACGGGTGACGTCGGCATCGCCAAGGACGGGAGCCCTAAGGACGCCTTCGAACGCGGCATGGAGTTCCACTCCAAAATAACCATCTTCACCGAAGGTCGGTCTGTAAACGTATGAACGTATGAACCATTCGGCTTTGGAATGAACTACCCTCCATGGTGTTTTCCGAGCGCTATGACATGTCCTTCTTCAAATGAGGCTTGCGGAGAGTACTTAATGGTAGGCAGCGGCTTGGCTCTGCCCTTGGCATTGCTGACGTCCATGAGCGACGGTGACCACTTACCATCAGGTGGGCCGTATGCTCGTCTGCCTACAATGGCAATAAAAAAAAAGAACTAAGATCTTAGTGATGACAGTCTGTCGTAGTAGCTTACTGAATTCTTTGTTAATGATACAAATTAATTTCAGGGTGTCATGGACATTTAACGAAAATGGTCTCGAACAAGTTCAATCTCAGGGAGAAGAGCGAGCCACAGTCTTATGGTATTGGATTGAAAGAGCTTTGGGAAGTTAAGCCAGAGGTAAGTTGGTCATAAAATTTTATAAAAAATGAACTTTTTTATTCTTCCACTATATTTTTATGATGTAGAGACATTGTAACACAGGATACTCAGAGTTACGTGGCTCCTGAGAAAGGTTTCTGACAATTTTCAATCTTAGCATTTTAATTTTCTTGCGGTTGTATGACTTATAGTAATTTGATTCTTTTTCAACTGTCGAATATTTTTCTTTTAATGTCTATAACACCATTTAGTTCAGGATTGAACCACACTTTTCTTGGTATTTATTTTGCTGTCTGTAAGGCAGTTAGAATTTTGTGTCAGCTACTGCCAACAATACTGTTTTTTTAATATTTTTTTGAAAGTAAACTCATTCATTGTGTGAGACTATCTGTTCTAAGTATTATACTTCTAAATATACAGGAGGATTGATGTTATTTTTGATATAATGGGTCCCAGGTGTTTGTTAATCATATAGTTTTGCTTAATGTTAACGTGAGATCAGTTCTTATAATGTAATTGAGCTTCACTGCTGCATATAATTTTACTGTAACAATTGATTTAATTTAACAAAATAACTTATATTTTCAGAACCACAAACCAGGCTTAGTGGAACACACAATAGGTTGGCCGTTAGATAAGAACACATACGGGGGATCGTTCATATACCACTTAAATGTGGCAGAGGGCGAATCACCCCTAGTGGCCGTCGGCTTCGTGGTGGGGCTGGACTACACCAACCCTTACATTAGTCCCTTCAGAGAATTCCAGAGATTCAAGTTGCATCCTTATGTTAATCCTATGTTCGAAGGTTAGTTTGATTTTAATTATTTTTAGTACATATTTTTACTGTACACCACTCCTGATCAGTTAAGATCCGTGGAACATAATCCCGGGAGAATTTTCCATGAGTGTTCTTTTGTGCTCTAAAAGTGGTCTCTTCCAGACAGCTTTATTCATGTAGTTGTCCTAATAGGTCCATCAAAATAGATCATATGTGGCGGATAGCCATCATACAACACAAAATATTTGACAAATTCTTGAATCTCGCTTACGACATTTTCAAGGTAAGCTTGCATACAAGTTGCAAACAACAACATTCGGAGCGCTAGTCTACCGAGCAATATCACCCGCTCGGTGGAAGATCTTCCCTTTGTCGTAGGTATATCCACACATATACGTGACAAACTAAAAATTTGTTTTTTGAGTAATAGATTAATTTTTATATCCATATTTTACAAACAAAAGGTTGTATATATTATTGAAAGATCCGTCCCTCAAAAATCGGAGAAATTAGCAAAGCAACTTATGTATTAGTTTTTACTGGTGGTAGGACCTCTTGTGAGTCCGCGCGGGTAGGTACCACCGCTCTGCCTATTTTTGCCGTGAAGCAGTAATGCGTTTCGGTTTGAAGGGTGGGGCAGCCGTTGTAACTATACTGAGATCTTAGAACTTATATCTCAAGGTGGGTGGCGCATTTACGTCGTAGATGTCCATGGGCTCCAGTTACCACTTAACATCAGGTGGGCTGTGAGCTCGTCCACCCATCTAAGCGATAAAAAAAAAAGCCTTAACTTTAAAATGGAAATGGGCTGGACATGTAGCACACACACCTTTAGGACCAGAAAAGTAGCAATATGGAAGGGCCCACTAGGAAAAAGACATAGGGGAAGACCATATATTAGATAGGAAGAAGATATATATATAAACTGGGTTAAAATTGCCCAATCTATAGAAGATTGGCTATCCTTGGAGAAGGCCTTTACCCGAGGAGGGGTTCTTACAAGTGGGAAATAGTACCTAATATTATTCAAGAAACATATTTACTAGTTAATTAATCGCATAGATCACATTGCGTTAATTTTTTGTTTTTATGTCACTTGTGTGAAATGAAAGGCTTTTTATTTTATTTACTTATTTATATGACTGAATAATTATTAAACAATGAAAGTTTTGTTCCAAGTAATAACTGTAGTAATTGAATATAAAATAAATATTAATTTAAAAAAATTAACAAAACATTATTTTATAGAAAATCCAAGTAAAAAATAGAAAATAAATTTTAATAAATTTGAATTGAAAATAGTGTAAGAAAAAATTATTTTATTGTAAAAAAGCGTGGGGTGCTTTTCCGGATATTATCAAAATAATCCTTCTACTCAGTATCTGTTCATAAAATATTTATAACTACTGATACCATTCAGTAACATACATACGTCTGAAGCTAATAAGTTCAGATTTTTAAGTTAAGATTAAAATCGCACTACATTGCACAATAATATGGCTCCTACGATATAACTGTACAAGTTGCTACTTATTTTGTAATTGCATATTTTTAGTATTTATTTGTATTTAATCGTATGTAAGCCTATTTTATATTGTAATTATTTTTCACATATGTATATAACTATATATTTGTTTGTAAGTTTATTAAGATATAGCACCGTCCAGTTCGCTTATCCCTCTCCCTTCAAGGTTGCCTGGAAGAGATCGCTTTCAGCGATAAGGCCGCCAATTTATGTCACCGACTATTATTTGTTTTATATGCGTACTCTGTACATATCGTGTTAAATAAAGGGTTATATTATTATTAATAAAAGCGTATTAATATCATTGTCGTCTGTACCAGGCGGGTCCCGCATCGCGTACGGCGCGCGGGCGCTGGTGGAGGGCGGCTGGCAGTGCCTGCCCCGGCCGGTGTTCCCGGGGGGCGTGCTGGCCGGGGACACGGCGGGCTTCCTCAACGTGCCCCGGATCAAGGGCACGCACAACGCCATGAAGAGTGGTACGTTCCTACTAGGTCTTCACCTCAAGCACCTGTCATCGTTCTCGTCAAACGGCGAAAGGCTCGACGAGTAAATGAACCCACAGACACAGCCCACTGAGTTTCTCGCCGGATCTTCTCAGTGGGTCGCGTTTCCGATCCGGTAGTAGATTCTGCGAAGCACTGCTCTTGCTAGGGTTCGTGTTAGCAACGTCGTCAGGTTTGAGCCCCGTCAGCTCACCTACTAGTTACGCTGAAATGGTCTCTCAAGACCATCAGCTTAGGTAGGAAAAAAAACGATACATATTCATCTAGTTTAATTCGTATTGAGTTTATACACACGCTTCAATAACAAGCTAAATTAATAGATGTCAAATTGATAATGATATTGCATTGAAATAATAATAAGAAATAATAATAATAATAAATATTATATTACTAACGATCACGCTACGTTAACTGTTCTTGTGCTAAGTTCGTAAAGAGCTTGTGTTACAGGTACCAGATGACGGAAATAAATGGAACGGAAAGATTTTTATTATACACATACATATATTTAATATACATCCATAAACCTGGAAAAGACATTTTATATTTATCATACAAATATCTTCCCTTGGCGGGATTCGAACCCGCGACCTACGGAAATACTGAAGTATTGGTTTTGGTTCCCAGGCATGCTAGCCGCCGAGTCCGCCATGGAGCTGGTGATGTCCGGGGACGCGACCCACGATCGCGGAGTCGTTCCGGAGTCCTACGAAGAGAAACTAAAAAATTCATTCGTCTACAAAGAACTCAAGGTAGTACCAACGTTCCGGTAGTAACATTACTCTGCACTTGCATACAATACAAATTGAATTAATTTTTATTAGTCATTATAATATGTTTGTTGTGATATTCTTGTGTCTTATGAGACACTGACAAGCAGTATGATCTTTAATTATCGATATTGGTGGTAGGACCTCTTCACTGGTGGTAGGACCTCTTGTGAGGCCGCGCGGGTAGGTCCCACCAGCCCGCCTATTTCTGCCGTGAAGCAGTAATGCGTTTCGGTTTAAAGGGTGGGGTAGCCGTTGTAACTATACTGAGATCGTAGAACTTATATCTCAAGGTGAGTGGCGCATTTACGTTGTTGATGTCTATGGGCTCCAGTAACCACTTAACACCAGGTGGGCTGTGAGCTCGTCCACCCATCTAAGCAATAAAATGAAAAAAAATGTCTTCGAAATATGTCTGAAATAATGTAAAGACTATAATAAACGCGACATTGAATCGTAATGGTAGCATTAATTGCTTCTGCGAGTCGCGAAGATCTTGAGGGAGTCGAGAGTCCCTTCTTTATTTCGCCGTAAAATCGTGTTTTGTGTAATTAACACCACAGTTGAAACAATAGGAGTTTTATTGTTGTAGCGGCATTAAAAATTCTAAGTTATTATGTTATATTAGTTACATATTATACACATTATATTTTTTTTCGTTTTTAAATTTTCGGCGGTAAAAAGGTCCCGTGTCACAGACTTATCTTCTTTTTTTCCACCTCTCGTGCGTTCCGACTTACGCATTATAAAAAGGTGCGTTCTTAAACGCCACAATCTAACTCCAGCAGCAAATATTAGCTACAGCTGATAAAAATTTCAGGAGGTTCGCAACTGTCGGCCGTCGTTCCACACGAAGCTGGGCCTGTACGGAGGCGTCGCGTACTCCGCTTTCAGCACGCTCGTGCGCGGGAAGGAACCCTGGACCCTCAGCCACGGAGGTAGGATACATGTGTATGGGATTAGCCTAAAGTAAATAACAGTTCTTTGGAAAAGTAACAAAATTTAATATATTAGACACACGTCGTAAAATGTTCACACTCCTAATGCCCGATCCGCCATCTTAACCATCTCCCTTCCGTCCCTTTCTTCCTCATACATTCATCCCTTTCACTCTAAATGTTCCGTTTCCCACATATGTATAATGATAACCTCACGTTTGTCCCGGTTTGAAGGGTGGGGGTAGCCGTTGTATTCTTGATACTTTTAAATTTTATATTTATTTTTATTGCATATGTGGGTAGACGATTTCACAGCCCACCTCGTGTTATGTGGTTACGGGAGCCCATAGACATCTACAACGTTAATGCCGTCACCCATCATGGGATATCTAAGGTCTCAGTATAGTTACAACGGCTGCCCCACCCTTCAAACCGAAACCCACCCGTGGTGGTGGTGGTACCCACCCGTGCGGACTCACAAGAGGTCCTACCACCAGCAATTACGCAAATTATAATTTTGCGAATTTGATTTTTATTACACGATGTTATTCCTTCACCGTGGAAGTCAATCGTGAACATTTGTTAAGTACGTATTTCATTAGAAAAATTGGTACCCGCCTGCGGGACTCGAACTCCGTCTTATCTTTTAGGCCACGACGACTTTTTGGATGTCAGTGTAAATGGGCTCCACTTAACGGGTTCTGAACTCATTTTAATATTCCAGGTGCAGATCACTCCCGCCTGCGGCCGGCGCAGGAGTGCCAACCCATCGAGTACCCCAAGCCGGACGGGGTGGTCACCTTCGATCTGCTGTCCTCTGTTGCGCTCACAGGTGTGGCCCGCGGTCTCCCACTGCACCAAGCTGCAACACACTCGGATGAGTTCATTAGGAACTACAATTTTTTTATTGCTTACACGGGTGGACGAGCTCACAGCCCACCTAGTGTTAAATGGTTACTGGAGACCATAGACATCTACAACGTAAACGCGCCACGTAGTTACAACAGCTGCCTCACCTGCCTTCAAACTGAAACTGCGCAGACTCTCAAGAGGTCCAGCCACCAGTAAAAAGAGGACAGGCGATATACGCAGCTGGAATTTAGACCTCACGTCTTAAAGTGGGCGTCTTAAACGTTTACCTTGCGATGCGACAATAGACTTAACCAAAAAGAGCGATATAGTGAAATCCTCACTAAACAAATTACTTTTTGTATATTCAATGTTAGACCTCATGTCTCAAAGTGGGCGTCTCAAACGTTTAGCGATGACAATAGACTCCATCAAAACGCAATATCGTGAAATCCTCACTAAACTGTTTTTTTTTATATTCAATATTAGACCTCATCTCTCAAAGTGGGCGTCTCAGGCCTTTAGCTTGCGATGCGACAATAGACTCACTAAAGTGTTTTTTTTTTTATAATCAGTAATGTAATAATGATTTTCTAAACTTCCAGGCACAAATCACGAAGCGGACCAGCCTCCGCATCTGACGCTAAAAGACGATACGGTGCCGGTTAAGACCAATCTAGGAGTATACGATGGACCCGAGGCCAGGTTTTGTCCTGCAGGTAATTTGTCGTCTAATAATTAGACTAATCTAGACCTTTGCCCGGGGAGGCAGGACGAGGCGACTCCTTTGGCCTTAAAAAAATTCATTAGATTGAATACTTGTAAATATAATTGTACATTTTGTAACTATTTAAATCAAACATTCTCATTAACATTTTAAAATTAAAGTAAACAGTACTTGTTTTAAAGAAAAGGTGTATCCGCTAACAGTGCCATTTAAAAAAATGATGAATACCTTTGCCCGGGGAGGCTCGACGAGGCGACTCCTTTTGTCTTAAAAAAATACATTAGACTGAAAACTTGTAAATATAATTATACATTTTGTAACTATTGAAATCAAACATTCTCATTAACATTTTAAAATTAAATTAAACAGTAGTTGTTTTAAAGAAAAGGTGTATACACGTTAAAGTGCTATTTAAAAAAAAAAAATTGTATTTAAAAAGAAAAAGCAATTGGGTATGCTCATAAGATGTCGGCGGTTTGCAAATAGGTTTTACTTCAGTTATTAGTTACAAGTTAATATTTTCATCTTAATTGTAATAAAAAAGTTTTAAAACAGTTTTTACCCTAAAATGTCTTACTGAACGGATGAAATATTACCACATTTTTGTACATAATGTATTCTATCATGTTAGATAGTCCTGGGACTACTGTGAACTATTGAAATTAGATTGCAATGATAATTTCCAGGTGTATACGAGTTCGTACCGTTGGAGGAGGGTGATGGTCAGAGGCTGCAGATCAATGCTCAGAACTGCATCCACTGTAAGTGCATTACTTTTTTTTTATTTTTTTTATTGCGTAGATGGGTGGGCGATATTACAGTCCACCTGGTGTTAAGTAGTTACTGTAGCCCATAGACATCTACAAAGTAAATGCCGCTACCCACCTTGAGATATAAGTTCTAAGGTCTCAGTATAGTTACAACAGCTGCCCCACCCTTCAAACCGAAACGCCTTACTGCTTCACGGCAGAAATGGGCAGGGCGGTGGTACCTACCCGTGCGGACTCACAAGGAGTCCTACCACTAGCAATTACTCAAATTATAAGATGTTTTAGAGAAACAATTCAACGCAAAACGTAAAGAGGATTCATTATAAAGTGTATATGTTCTTCTCGAGTATGTACCGGAGAAGTTAAATGCTAATAGGTATATTGTCTTGCCATAGAAGTCGTTAATGTGGTCTGAATGGCCCAGCACGGGCACACGCTATAGGCTCCAAATAGCTTCATCTAAAATTCAAGATAATAAATTGAATGCCTCATTGTTCGAGTGGTTAGTGGCCCATACTACTGAATTCGATTCCCGGTTGTTGTAAATATCTTCATTAAAGATGTCAATCAGGTTATTGAGGTGTATGATGAGGTGGAGATGTACTATAATAGAACAAGAGAATATTTTATTTGAGATGAGCGTTCTGTATGTTCTTAAGAAAAGAAAAAAAAATGCTGTTCACATGAAGTCAGAACGAAATTTTTCTAATGAAATACGTACTTAGCAAATGTTCACGATTGACTTCCACCGTGAGGGAATAACATCGTGCATTAAATATCAAACCCGCAAATTTATAATTTGCGTAATTACTGGTGGTAGGATCTCGCGTGAGTCCGCTCGGGTAGGTACCACCACCCTGCCTATTTCTGCCGTGAAGCAGTAATGCGTTTCGGTTTGACGGGTAGGGCAGCCGTTGTAAGTATACTGAGACCTTAGAACTTATATCTCAAGGTGGTTGGCGGCATTTACGTTGTAGATGTCTGTGAGCTTGATGCAATAAAAAAAAACAATGTCTATGTCATTTCTAAATGTTTATCTGGTCTCGTTTCCAATAATAACAGTTGTAAATAAGGTATTACTAAAAAAATGTCGTCTTTTAAGGTAAAACGTGCGACATTAAAGACCCGTCGCAGAACATCAACTGGGTTGTGCCCGAGGGCGGCGGCGGACCTGCCTACAACGGAATGTAAATTGATACCAAATATTCATTAAACCCGTAGGAATCAAGCAAGAACAACACAATGATTCTTTTTAGAAAATATTCAATCAAACAGTCAGCAATTTTGAAATTTTAATTTTAATTAAATAGTTTACAATTAAAAAGACACGTGCTCCTCGAAAACTCATCAAAAATCTTCAACAGCGAAGAGCATGACTGCGGTTCGCTGACCATGCAAACGATCTGATTGAAAAAGCCTCATTTTGATTTTCAACCTAGCAACTGTCACTGTCAAATTTGACACTGACAAATGTACGTCAAAATGTCACTGCAGTTTGTATGAGATATTTTATAGATACCATGACATGGGGTAAATTGGGATCCTGGGGTAAATTGGGACAAACCTGCGGAAGATTCTCAAAGTACTTGTAGCACGGAATCTACCTAATTTTCTTTAAGGTAATATTTATCAATGTATAGAAGAAAAACCAAGTTAACTATGGAAGTACTAAACATAAGTTAAGTTGGTCCCAAAAATTCGTCAAATTAAATTTAAAATAGTGGTTGAAAAGTGCGTTTTAAAACAGCTTAAAGAACTTTTAAAAAAAGTGATATATTCGTTGTTTTTTCAATAAGATCACAGTTTATATAAGTTTTTAATACACCTGGAAATACCACAACAAACGGTAAGTTGCAATATTCTTATGTTAAATACAATATTTCGACAAAATAAAAAATGTATATTTTTTCCTTTCTTTTTGGGGAAAATTGGGACGTATGTAGGGTAATTTGCAACGAGACTGGAAAAATTAGGGACGAGAAAACACAAAATTGGAACGCCAAAAGACAAAATAGGGATGGCTTGTTAGGGTTGTCACTGATATCTTATAATAGATTTTTTTGCCTATACTATCACTTAATTGCGTGATGTAAAGAAGGTTAATGTGTTTATCAGTTAGTTTATGTAAGTATTATAGGTAAAAGAAAAGTATATATATAATTACTTTTTTTCGCGACATTTACCTTGTAATATCTGCCCGGTCGTATGTTCTTTATAGCAATAAAAAAAATTAAAAGTTAAAAGAACTCAAGCGAATCAAAACTTTTGTTATTTCAGAATCGATTCACGCGTCGAATCATGATTTTGTTAACATTCACAACGAACACACACAAATAAAAACAGGCCTCAGATTTTAAATGTAACATTAATTAAAAATCCGAGATATGCAATTATGAGCGAGTGAATTAATTGAGTTTAGTTATTTCGCTTAGAAAGAATTTCTTTTATTTTTGTTATTATTGGCAGTAATCAGATAAAGCTGTTTTTTTATCTTATTCACCTGATATCTTACTCTTGCTCAAAGATCATTTTGAAAATGTTGATTAAATAAAATTGTATTAATGCATTTCCAGTCCTTTTGTTTTCTATTTTTTATTCTATTTTATGACTTTGTTTCAGAGTTGTGATTTTTAAGGAAATTAAATAATAAATTTCTAAAATATAACATGCACATACTTTTTTTGATCATTGTATTGTTGATTATCATTCACGTCACATCGCTTCGGAATAGAAACCAGCTTAATTTACACTATGTTGTGTATTGTGCTTAAATTATGGATTGTATTCATCATTTCGGTCCATATAAATAATTATATGGCACCTACCTATATATCGCAGTACTGCGAGTTGACANATTTTCTAAAATATAACATGCACATACTTTTTTTGATCATTGTATTGTTGATTATCATTCACGTCACATCGCTTCGGAATAGAAACCAGCTTAATTTACACTATGTTGTGTATTGTGCTTAAATTATGGATTGTATTCATCATTTCGGTCCATATAAATAATTATATGGCACCTACCTATATATCGCAGTACTGCGAGTTGACAGCCCTTACAAATATCCCAATTTAACCCTTAACCGTGTCAATTTACCCCGGACGCTGGGTAAATTGGGACGGCCATTATTTTACCCATTATTTCTTTAAAATGAATAATTAAAATAATGTAACGGTTTTTATCACCTAGGTACGTTCAAGACTCAACCTATTTCTTTGGTTGAGCAGTGACTATTTAATTGGAACTATTTTAAAATTCTATCTGAAGGTCGATTTTGTCCCTATTTACCCCATTGTACGGTATAAAATTTTATATTTAGTTTATTTTTTCGACTGTTTTATCTATCGTGAAATTTTGTTGATCATTTTATAATATTAATTGCGCAGCTTTGTGTATGCGTTAAGACGTTGATAGGCCAGCGGAGTAACTGACTTAGGTTTATTATATGAAATCATTTAAAACGTTTTTAAAAATGAAGCGACCGCCACACAATATGGCGATTCTTGTTATTATCTGTGAAGTAATTAAATCATGTTTTGATATCTTCTCAAGTGATTTGGAGTCAACTGACTTCACTAGAGTAAGATTAGAAAAGTTCCCAATTGTGTTAACAAAATAGAAAAAAAAAAAAAAAATACATTTCTCTGAGGAAACTATTGAAATTATTTTTGAAAACTTTTGATCTAATATACTTAAGATAAACTATTGCATATATTGTTTTTTATATATTTAAAATGATTAAAATTAAAGGTATGCTTAAGAGATACCGTACAAGAGGTAGAAAATGAACACACAAAATTATTAACTGTTCCTAGTGTTTGAATTAAGTGAAATCATTCATTCATCTGAACGTTTACAAAGATTGTATGTGTATTGGGAAAATATAAAAAAAAGTTATGATTATTTTTATATATTTATAACAAAAAGACAACGGAATCTTTCTCAAACGGTGCTTATAATAATGTTTGTATGAGGAAATAAATGTTTTTGATTGAAGTACAATCATAGAGATAAGTGTTAATTATATTATAAAAAGAAATAGATAAATTATTTTAGATAAAGTTGTGTTTTATTGGAAAACCTCGGATTTGGTTGTCAGTTTGTAAGCGTGTGTGGCCTGATGGATTAGACCCCCGCTGTACTGTAGAGATGTGATAACACGACTGCCTGAATACGACAATGCGATCCAATAAGCTAAATTTATTTAATTTCATTTTTCTTACTGTTGTTTTTAAGAAGTGGTTTTAAGTTATTGCATAGCTTTTATGGCGGGCTTTGAACGCGGCGACCGAATCAAGAAATTCCGTAACGAAAATAAAACCTAACACCTGCTCCTACTATGTAGCTCGCGTTCAACACATTCACACGTTGTGCTTGTGTATGTTTGTGAATAAACGCGCGGCGTGACGTTGCACTGCATGCGCATCATGAAAAGTCTGCCCATCTCTCTCTCGCGCGGTCTAGCTTATGACTGTGAAGGGGACAGTTAATGTTTTGCTTTTGTTAATGTTTATAAATATAGCGTGGTCTTATTTTATTTTTATTTATTTATTCAACTTAATGCACATAAGTACAATGGCGGACTTAATGCCTGAGGCATTCTCTACCAGTCAACCAAGGGTGGTGTAGAGAATCCTGTGGTAGGTGCATAACTTAATGTGAAACAACCAAACTACATTATACAATATATAAACACATACACGGTATATATATATATATATACATATATACAATCACACAAACAACATTATTTTATTATTGTTTTAATATTAAATTATTATTGTTTAATTATAATTGCATAAGTTGATAAAAAATGCTATGCAATAGCTTTACCGCGGCAGTTCCCGAGTCGTTGCCCTTCATAGGTAAACGAGTTCGGCTTGATCGGCTCACCTGGTGTTAAGTGGTTATCGGAGTTGAACTAGATCACACCGGAATGGTGATATCTACCCTAGCGAGTTTAATACGCCTAGTCACTAATCAATATCCAAATTTAATCCAAATTTAAATTTTAAAAAAATAGTGGATTTTTTTTATAGATAGTGCTATTATTTCGCCGTGAAACTCGATCGTGAACAAAAGTGCGTTTTTCATTGGAAAAATTGATACTTGTCTGTGGTTTGCGAACATCGACACGGTCGCATAGCTCGATACGTGTACAACAAGCGTCTTAATATATCCTTAAGGCCGCGGCGATTTTTATATGACGACGACGCTTACGTTAATTTAGAAAATATTTGTTTGCGTATTCTATTCACTATTAAAACTAAATTCCAATTAAAAAAGGTTGCTTGTTTATATTTGACTAGCGACCCGCCCTCGCTTCGCTTCGGAAACATTAAAACACACATGAAACAAAAAATAAATAAAAAAAGAATAAAAAAAAGTAGCCTATGTTCATCAGGGACAATGTCGGCTTCTAATGGAAAAATAATTTTTCAAGTCGGTCCAGTAGTTTCGGAGCCTATTCGAAACAAACAAACAAACAAATCTTTCCTCTTTATAATATTAGTATAGATTTTGCACATCCGCCTCTTGAGATTTAGTTCTATTATAAAATGGCCTTTCCTTTGGCCGTTTTTAAATAAATAAATTTAAATGATAAACTAGGATATTAAAATGAGTACTTTTTGAAATTTGCTCAATCACAGATTATATTACTGTTGGTTGACTACTGATTATATTTATGTTTCCTAGCAAAGTCATTGTATAGTCATTGTACTGACACAATTTGACAATGTGACCAAATCAAGATTTAACCTAGCAGTTTTATTTATTAAATAGTTTAATTTTAAACGAACATGTATTTATCATAATGTTATTAATACTTTCGTTATGCTGTTTGTTTATAAAGGTAAGTGAATTCAAAGAAAACGGTTGGAAGTTATTGAATGAGTGAGAATTCGCTCTTTAATGTTTACCATGCCAATAAATATATATAAATGACGGTTACTGACTCGTTGGTGCAGTAGTTAGCGGCTCTGACTGATACTCTGAGGGTCGTGGGTTCGATTACCACATCGGGCAAACATTGTGTGATGAATAGAATTGTTTGCTCTTTGCCTGGGTTTTTATTATCGATAACTGTATATATTTAAACGTATAAGTATGTTTGTCAGTCTCTCGTACCCATAATGCAGGGAATCCTAAATTGGGGCCGGATGACCGTGCGTGATTTGTTTCGGGTTATTATTATAATAAATAAAACGATGAGAATTAAATTGGGCTCGTTGGTAAGTGAAATACTTAAACAGCTGGGTGACATGAAAAGTTTTTGATTTATTTGGTAAAAATGTTCGTAAATTTCATGGTTAAGGTTTTTAGTGAAAGTAAAACACACACGTCGAACACACACACAATGAGATTCACAGTCGACCTGATGTTTTCTTTTATCAGAATTTATAGAAACTACAAGCTCTTAGTATAAATGAGAAGAATACCTATCTTATACCTATTCATAGATTCAAAGTGCGGGTGCGGGGTCCATCGTGTTGCTGAGAGAGGAGTTTGGAGAATACCAGCGGAATTTTTTTTTATTGCATAGATAGGTGGACGAGTTCACAGCCCACCTGGTGTTAAGTGGTTACCCAAGTCCATAGATATCCACAACGTAAATGTCGCCACCCACCTTGACATATGAGTTCTAAGGTCTCATTATAGTTACAACGGCTGCCCCACCCTTCAAACCGAAACGCATTACTGCTTCACGGCAGAAATAGGCAGGGTGGTGGTACCTACCGATGCGGACTTACATGAGGTCCTACTACCAGTAAGCAAGAGACCCTGGTCGCGACTTGCAACGCTGGTGTAGGATTAAGAGGTCCCTATCAATGCGCATATTACGCTCAACTGCATACTCCGCATTCCTCTCCTTGATTAGCCGAATTTGATAGGAAACTTACGGTTTTAGATGTTCTTTCAAGTATAGAATTTACGAAATTGCTTGACAAGCCAATGTCTTTTACAATGTCTTTTTAGTTACATCATGAATGATTTAGAATATCATGTACCGTCAAACTGGAGAAATATGGACGCGCAATTTGGACCGTAGGTGTGGTACGTCCAATGTTGATGCTCCCGTGAAAGAAATCACATCTCCAAATTCACCTATTATACAGTTAAAAAAAAAGGGAAATTATCTTCCGCGGAAATTGTCTACAAAAAAATACATATTTTTCTTTCTAAAGTATTTTATAAACTCATTTAAACAGTCATCCGAGTTGTACGCGGAAGCGAAAATTGAAAAAGTTTCGTTTACTTAATTCGACTTTAGAACAATTCCGTTTTTGATGTTCTTCAGCGAGTGTTTTTTTTTATTATTTTAAAATCTCTTTGTTGAATGTATTTATTTAGCTCTGCTACTCGAGTGTATTTTTGGAAGTTCCGACATTATTTATTCGTATATAGCAGCCTTTCCCAAAGTTGGCGATAACGCCCCCTTATGGGCGCTGCAGGCCTAAAGGGGGCCGGTAAGAGACCCACAAAAAAAGGGGGCGTTTTGTAGAGGCTTGAGAGGCGATTTGTAATTTCATCTAGGATGCCTCTTAGACACCGACTAAGCTCTCGCTATAGTTGTTTTCCAGTAAGTGAAAACATGGGGGCGCTAAAAATAATTTATTCCCAAAGTGGACAGTAGACAAAATAAGTTTGGAAGCCCCTGGTATATAGTGTATTCACCGTACCTACCAATTCGTAGCCTGTTGAATGTTGCCGCCCATCTTCAGACATGAGTTCGAAGTAACAATTGCATTCGAATAAAGGCTATTTTCGACTGTGATGATGCATGATTGTAACAATAGCCAGAAGTCATTACCCTCTGCCGCCATGTACTTCAATAACGTCTAAAAATCAGCTCGACCGACAATTATTTTGCCCATGTACTTAGAAGTCGTCGTGGCCTAACGGATAAGACGTCCGGTGCATTCGTATTGAGCGATGCACCGGTGTTCGAATCCCGCAGGCGGGTACCAATTTTTCTAATGAAATACGTACTCAACAAATGTTCACGATTGATTTCCACGGTGAAGGAATAACATCGTGTAATAAAAATGAAACCCGCAAAATTATAATTTGCGTAATTACTGGTGGTAGGACCTCTTGTGAGTCCGCACGGGTAGGTAACACCACCCTGCCTATTTCTGCCGTGAAGCAGTAATGCGTTTCGGTTTGAAGGGTGGGGCAGCCGTTGTAACTATAATTGAGACCCTTAGAACTTATATCTCAAGATGGGTGGCGCATTTACGTTGTAGATGTCTATGGGCTCCAGTAACCACTTAACACCAGGTGGGCTGTGAGCTCGTCCACTCATCTAAGCAATAACAAAAAAAAAACACAAAAAAAATTATATCTAAATTTCTAGTCAACAGAGCTTCTAGCTTCAATGAAAGTTACGCAAAAATCTAATCATACAAAATACGAAATCATTATGACAAACGACATGAATTGTATTATTCGTATTACCATAATAATAACCGGACTTTCATCGGTGTTCGCGAGTCGTAGATATAATAAAAACTATACGGTATGCGTTTACTTTTACGGTTCATTCTTGCGTTTTCTTATCGTCATTATAATATTTCTAACGCTTCGAATGCTTTATGATTAAGAAATCACAAATGATTTTGAAAGGTTCGTCGATATATTCGAATATTGAATATTATATTGACTATTATATGTATGTACTAGCTTTACCCGTCCCCTTCGCTGGGCATTTAAAATTTACGTTATTATTTCTCAACCGCAGAAAGATTCTCATCATTAACGCCCCCGCAACTAGTGTAGGGAGTCCAACGCTCATATAAATATTAGCCTATTCATTAAGTACATGTATTTTCTACATGGATACCATGTTTTAAGTCAATCGGTTGCGTGGTTCAGTAGTTATAACGGAACATCCGTAAAAACCACTAGATTTATATATTAGTATAGATATGTATATGTGATTGTGTATATATGTATTTATATAGGTACATTTTTGTGTACGTATTTGTAACTTAATATAAATTTCATTGCACCTACCACTATTTACTCTGCACTACCTTTGGTTGACTGGTAGAGAATGCCTTAGGCATTAAGTCCGCCAATGTAAATTTTACATGAAGTGCAATAAATAAATAAATAAATAAATATTGTGCTACCGTCGATTCTAAAAGGAGATTAAACCGTAAAAGTTGTTTTAATTATAATAATACATACTTCAGGCAACAGCACAAGATTACTACTATACTCCGAACGTGTCACGTTCTACCATACCCGGGATAGCCGCGTACCGCTCCGCTCTGACCCTGGACTGGCTGGCGGCCGAGGACTCCCGCCAGAGGGAGATGGTGGCGGCTTTCGAAACAGAACAGGCTCCTCCGATGAGAATGATCTTAACCGATTGCATGGGCTATGCGACACCGCCGAGCGAAAAGATTGCTAGGCTTTTGTTGGAGCTGTTGAAGTTAGTTTATTATCCTATATCTTTACCACTTTTTCTCTAATCCTAATCGCTGGCAGCCTAAGGGCTATTCCAGAGGCTACCCACGGACTGGCAGATGAGTTTTACGGCAGGTGCTTCGTAGAAACTACCACTGGAACGGAATAGCGGCCCACTGAGAAGATTCGGCAAGAAACTCAGTGTGTTCTATGTATGGGTTAGCTTGCACGTCAAACTCTTCGTCATAATCGAAGAGTTCGACGCGGACGGTGAATATTTATACTGGGAATATATTGGACAACTGTTATACAATAACATATATCATCGATCTCACGTCTTAAATTGTGTGATGGCATTCACATTATGGTCTTTCTGGGTTCCGATAATCACTTTATTGGATAGATTCTTGAATTAGGGCACGACCCGTACGTATTGTAAGCCGTCTAAGATATATACCATATTTCTTCCGCGAAGAAGTCAAGCGACTCGATTATAAGGATGGTATAGACCTTATAGGTGTATTATAACCGAGTCTTCAAGATCACATCTCGTGGACTCCAGTAACTATTTAACAAACAGACGAACCGTAAGCATATATTCCCGCAATTTGTTAAGATTTCTTGAGAGATACAAAATTCTCTAGGAATCTTGAAGGCGACGAAGGTCCGATCATCTTGGACCTAACACAGGCTTTGATTCGGGCCAAGCTACTCATAGAAACGTCAACGCTGGAATCCGAACCGGATTTAGAATCTCTGGTGAAGACTCCGAATGTGATGATGGGCGAGCCACACAAGACCTTCCCCAGAATCCTTGCTGCGGTCTGGTTGACCCTTACAGACGCCTCTACTACGACCAAGTACGGATGGTGCCCAATAAACAAGGTTATCTATGTAATGCTAACTTATTCTACACAAACTCGACTGGTGATAGGATGTGATGGTCACGTCCTTACGGATCCATCAGATCCAATAACCTTTACATTAGACGCATTCAGCTCTAACACTAGGAGCAGGTTTAGGAGCCCCGGTAACCGTACTCGTCGAACTCGACAAAGAGATCGCCGTGCAACCTAACCCATGCATCAGCTCGCTGAGTTTCTTGCCGGATCTTCTCAGCGGGTCGCGATTCAGATCCGGTCTCCCTCTCGGCCGCGGGGGCAGCTGTTAACAAATCCCATCCTTCCTGGCTAAGCCTTTGCTCGCCCACTTGTCCTAGTGAAACTGGAAAGGCCTCCAAGCCACCAGTAGTACTTCAATTAAAAAAAAAAAGTTGTGATTGAAGCGCGCACGGGTAGGTACCACCACCCTGCCTATTTCTGCCGCGAAACATCAGTGCGTTTCAGTTTGAAAGGTTGGGCATCCGTTGTAGTATAAAACTCGAGACTTCGAACTCCTATCTTAAGGTTGGTGGTTCCAGTCATCATAGCAATAAAAAATAAAAAAAAAATGTTCCAGTACTTGAGACATAAGTTCTAAGTTTCTCAGTACAAAGGCAATTAACGTTTATTTTGTATGAAGATACACAGAGGACACGAATCTTGGATATCTTCTGTTGAAGGTCACAAAATATTTGACGACAAACAAGCCGGTGAACATTGCTGAGCACATGAGGTCCTTGGACCCGGTCTTAGCTAGAGCCAGGTTCGTCATGGAGGAATTCGTACAGCACGTAACGCCCCTCAATATGTATCAAAAGCTGATCGGACGGAGGAAGGTAAGATCTAAAAGGTCTCTAATGGGTTTTTTTATTGCTTAGATGGGTGGGCGAGCTCACCGCCAACCTGGTGTCAAGTGGTTACTGGAGCCCATAGACATCTAGAACGTAAATGCGCCACCAACTTTAAGATATAAGTTCTAAGGTCTCAAGTATAGTTACAACGGCTGCCCCACCCTTCAAACCGAAACGCATTACTGCTTCACGGCAGAAATAGGCAGGGCGATGGTACCTACCCGCGCGGACTCTCAAGAGATCCTACCACCAGTAAGAAAGAAAGAAAGCCAAAGGAAAAAGCATTCTCGTAGATAGTAATTAAGTCCTCACACGCGTACGTACGTCTGTAGATTAATATGGCTTCGTGAAATTTATCATTCGCTTCTAATATATTGGCCATGTTTTTTGGGTAATGTTAACGAAAATTAGATAATCTGACCTTTTCCTTTGTGAGCGAAATTTTACATGTTTTTTCTTATTATCTGTGATACAAAGGTAATTTAGAAAAGATAAAAAAAAATCACCTTTAAGCTATTTTAATTACAACTGTGATCACGAAAATAGTGAATTCTAAAATAATTGAGATATAAATAAAAATTATGACAACTTTTTTGCATTAGGTACGCGCTACTTTTTTCCCATATTTTTTTTAATTCGTTCGCGACGACCACGTCATTAATGTTGTAAACAACGCGAGATCAAATTATTAAAAGATTAATGGCCGTCACTTATGTGAAAGAAAATGTTACACTGTTGAAAGCAGAGAGTTGAAATGTTGAAAGCATTAAAGGAGTTTAATTGTTTCAGGAGGTGTCCTTTGGCCAGAAACAACAAAAACACGGTCCCAAAGAAAACCCTAAGATAGTACGTTCTTAACCAACATGATTTCATTGAATTCTTACAAATAGAAATAATTTGAAGAAAAAGAAGTACATTTTTTTACTAAAAACTAGACTTTCTTTACATATTTCATGGAATTCTCATGAATGAAGAATTCTGTGACCGTATAAAAAATGTGTCACAGCTAGAAGAGAGCTCGCGGGGTTAATTGGGTTCATTGGTTATACATAACACACAAGTCATATTTTGCTACTTTTTGGCCGGAACGCGAGGAGTGAAGTTGTGTGATTTGTTTTATTTTCTCTTTTTTTATTTTTTATTTATTGCTTAGATGGATGGACGAGCTCACAGCCCACCTGGTGTTAAGTGGTTACTGGAGCCCATAGACATCTACAACGTAAATGCGCCACCCACCTCGAGATATAAGTTCTAAGATCTCAGTATAGTTACAACGGCTACCCCACCTTTCGAACCGAAACGCATTACTGCTTCACGGCGGAAATAGGCGGGGTGGTGGTACCTACCCGTGCGGACTCCCAAGAGGTCTGTAAGCTCGTCCACCCATCTAAGCAATAAAAAAAAACGCATATTGTTTGAAGAAAATAGAATTTACTTTAGCGTCAGTTTTTAATGGCGGGCTTTTTAATTTGCAGCATAAAATTGTTCATGATCGAAGCCCTTTAACTGTATAACTAATCGAGACTCTTCTACAGGAGCGGGCTGGCCCAATTCCTGCTGCCAAGACTGTTACCACCAAACTCAAGGTTACTAGAAAATTTGACGCGAACGATGGCAGTCAAATTGTTGTAACGAATATCGGACACAGCTCGGCTACAGTGTCAGATCTTTTGAACATCGTGTTTTTAATGTTTATTCTTACATTTGGAATTATGTGATTAATTTTTTTTGTAATTTTACTGTTTTGTATATTTATGTTTTGTATTTATTATGAAATTAAAGTTTATTATATACTAGCGGCCCGCTCCGGCTTCGCTTGGGAAGTAGCGCACGCGATTTAAAGAACTTAGATAATTTTTTTACACCATGGGTGTTTATTAGAGGTGTTATTGGAGTTTCAGTAAGGATCCCTAATTTTTTTTAAAAATAATAAATATAGCATATCAAATCAAATCAAATCAAATGTCACCTATGTCACCCGGGGTTAGTAGCTTTCCAACAGTGAAAGAATTTTTTAAATCGGTTCAGTAGCTTCGGAGCATATTCAGTACAAAAAAACAAACAAATTTTTCCTCTTTATAATATTAGTATAGACTAGCCTTTGGCCGCGACTTCGTCCGCGTGGAATAGTTACTTTGGCATTTTGGCAAATTTTACCCGCCTCTTCGTTTACGTTGAAAGTGAAAATATTTTGAAACATTGGTGCTCCACTTGTATTGGTCTAACCGTGATGTTATATAGCCTTCCTCAATAAACGGGCTATCTAACACTGAAAGAATTTTTCAAATCGGACCAGTAGTTCCTGAGATTAGCGCGTTCAAACAAACAAACTCTTTAGCTTTATAATATTAAAGTTTATTTTGATCGTTTCGTGTGTGTCGTGAATAAACAAAATCTATGCTAATTGTTCTATTAATTCACAAATTATACGCAGCTATTTTAAATTAACTAGATGTTTGAAGTAAAATCTCATAGACACATCCCACTGCGTTTCTCGCCGGATCTGCTCAGTGGGTCGCGATTCCGATCCGTTAGTAGATTTAGCAAAGCACTGCTCTTGCTAGGGCCAGTGTTAGCAAATTCTTTCAGTTTGAGCCGATGAGTTCAACTAATAGTCCGTGAGTAACTAGCCTTTTGGGCTATCAGAGCTTAGGTAGAAAAAAAAAGAAGTAAAATCAAACTGTTATTGTCATTAAATTTATTGAAGTATTTGAAGTGAAGAGCCGTCATCGGGTTAGAGTAAATCTAGTCTTCATCAAGGTAGGTAGTCCTATGGGTCCTGCTTATGTCTGCCACAAAGTCGCATCTCGTTTTTGAAGGTGAGAATCGTTACAGTTGATGTCTTAAAGCAGGCAGCATAGTTCACATCGTAGTGTCCTCCTCCCGATCCTCTTACGGTGCTTTTAGGTACCTCAAATATCGGTCACTGTTCTGGTCGTACCCGTCGCTCGCGATGAAGGATTCGGCGAGTAAATTAACTCATAGACACAGCCCACTGAGTTTCTCGCTAGGTCTTTTCAGTGGGTCGCGTTTTCGATCCGGTGGTAGATTCTGCGAAGTACGGCTCTTGTTAGGGCCAGTGCTAGTAACACCTGGCTTGAGTCCGAGAGCTCACCTACACGCTAGGGTAACGCTGATATAGCTTCTTAAGCTTAAGGCTATCAGCATAGGTAGGAAAAAAATCGTTGTGTCTGTCTAGAAGCTCTGCTAATCACCTAACACAAGATGGATCGCGAGCTCATCTAGATCGATTTAGAGTATTAAAAATCGATATACACTTCACTGAGCACGAGACGAGTCGAGGGAGGTTTCCCTTTGCCTTTATTTTTTCATTCATCTATATCTATACTAATATATAAATCTACAATGGTTTTTACGGATGTTCCGTTATAACTACTGAACTATGCATCCGACTGACTTGAAACTTGGTATCCATGTAGAAAATGCATGTACTTAATGGATAGGTTAATATTTATATGAGTGTTGGACTCCCTACACCAGTTGCGGGGGCGTTAATGATGAGAATCTTTATGGGGGTGAGAAATAATAATTTTAATTTAAATGCCCAGCGAAGCGGACGGGTACAGCTAGTATTTTATATATCAGTGACTACGTAAGAGTTTATATTCAAAAGGCAATAAACGTTTTTTTTTTTTATCAAAGAAATTCTAAAGACAATTTTATTGTGCTAAAACATTTTAGACAGTTATATCTCTGTCAAATAATGTAGCTACGTTGAAGTTTTTCTTTGCTGTCAGTTTTGATATTTGGATTAAATAGCATGGATAAATTACCGTCTGTTTATATTTCGTATTGTTGGTTACTTCATTGATTATATTAAACACGAGGCATTCGAAATTAAACTAGTGAAGATGAACAAATCATTTGTGTTATGGCTTTGAAAGTTTATCATGTTTACGTATTATGGATTTGTTTGACGGTATTTCACACATTATTGATTTTCTTATAAATAAAACTTGGTTTACTGCTCGCTGGTAATACTGAAAGGGATCTAGAAGCTACGTGATAATCTCTATTAAAAAAGGCCTTATGTAGCTACACTGTTCGTGTTGCCAGAGTTTAAGCTAGTGCCAGGCGTCATGATAATCGCCTTATCGCTGCCACCGCTGACTACTCTCTGAATCCAGTGTGCCTAGTGAGAGTTTTTTAACGTTCTCGATAGCGTAAAAGTTAATTCATATTTGTATGGAATGGGATCGCTTGCGTGCGTTTGCCGCTAGGGGCGCTGTTCCAACTGCATACAAAATTGGGTTAACTTTTACGCTATCGAGAACGTTAAGAAACTCGCACTTTTTTTTTTCCTACCTAAGCTGATAGCCTTGAGAGGCTATGTCAGCGTAACCCTAACTTTAGTAGGTGAGCTCACGGGGCTCAAACCTGACGATGTTGCTAACACGAACCCTAGCAAGAGCCGTGCTTCGCAGAATCTACCACCGGATCGGAAACGCGACCCACTGAGAAGATCCGGCGAGAAACTCAGTGGGCTGTGTCTGAGAGTTAATTTACTCGTCGAGCCCTTCGTCGCAAGCGACGGGTTCGACGAGAACGGTGACCGGTGCTTGAAGTACCTAAAAGCACCGTTAGTGGATCGGGAGGATCCGAGATGACGTGTTTTGGGCGACGTCGACTGCTTTCCATTCTGTCCGCAGGATCGGGAATGTAGTTACCGGCGGCCACGATGAGAGGGTTCTCGTGTCGTGCCGCTTTATCGAAGTGGCGCATGGACGCCGACTGCAGATACTTACTGATGGACTCTAAGTCCAGGTCGTCATGGAGGTCGACGTTCCTGACGAACCACGGAGCACCGACGGCTATCCTGCAAAAACGGGATTGAATGATTTGGAAGGATTTTAAGTGTATGCGGGCCGCGTGAGCGAACACTACACTTGCATAGGTCATGACGGGGCGTATGCAAGTTTTGTAGAGTGTCACCTTATTTCTAAGGGACATTTTACTTCGCCTACATATCATCGGGTAGATTCGCACTAAGCACACTGATCACGCAGAAGCCATTCACCATCGACGCCCTATACAACTCCTTACGGATCCATAAGATCCAATAGCTCCTGCATTAGACGTCTTCAGCTCTAACACTAGCAGCAGATTGGGATCTCGGTAACAGTACTCGTCGAACTCGGGAAAGAGCAGAAGGGGCCTAAGCGTCAGCTCGCTGAGTTTCTCGCCGGATCTTCTCAACGGGTCACGATTGCGATCCGGTAGTAGATTCATCGAAGTATTGCTGTTGTTAGCAATTGTCTCAGGTTGAGCCCGTGAGCTCACATACCGGTCCGCGCGAAGTTGGAATACTTAGGCACCAAATGATTAGGTAGAGAAACAAATGAAGCTACACCGACAAAGTTTGGACACAATGAGGTTTTTAAAGGTCGTTTTTTTTTCTATTTGTTTTTTTTTCCTACCTAAGCTTATGGTCTAGAGAGACCACATCAGCGTAACCTTAACTAGTAGGTAGCTCACGGGGCTCAAGCCTGACGATGTTGCTAACACGAACCCTAGCAAAAGTCGGGCTTCGCAGAATCTACCACCGGATCGGAAACGCGACCCACTGAGAAGATCCGGCGAGAAACTCAGTGGGACTACTTGTACTTAATTTTCTACCTATTGTTGTTCTATTGGTGTCATTAGTCCTCATAACACCGCCGATCCCCGTTTGCTTCTTTGGGGAGTTGAATATAGAACGAATGGAATTATCGAGTATCGGCTTTTGTTTTTTGTTTTAACGAAGGCCGATGCTGTTTCGATTTAAAACTTTCGTTATTATTTCTAGTGTCCTTCGGCGTGCGCGGACGATGTTTTCGAGACGGAGTTCCCCGAGGACCGCTGGGTCTTCAGGAACGCTAAGCAACAGGATCTGTTGAGCGCCGCCTGTTCAAACGTCCACCCCTCAAGCAAGGACTTCGTAAAGCGCTTTTATGCTATCCTACCATAGTTAGTTACAGTAGAATTTATGAATTTCGTCCTTATTTTACTAGTGACAGGACCTCTTGTGAGTCCGCACGGCTAGATACCACCAGCGCATTTACGTTGTAGATGTCTATGGGCTTCAGTAACCACTTAACACCAGGTGCGCTGTCAGCTCGTCCACCCATATAAGTAACAAAAAAAAAACAAAAAAGAATTGCCTTAAATCAAACAGTAAGTTTTTCTGTATAGTTTATTATCGAGAGAGAAGCAGAGATGGTTTGTGTTAATTTTGCATGTGGATTTGTGCAAAATGGATTTTGCTTGAAAAATCAATTGAAATCAGGAGAGCTCAGTATGTATTTTCGGATTATTGTTTAGAAGATGAAGATGCCTAAATACATATCACTTTCAATTGTTTTTTTTTATTGCTTAGATGGATGGACGAGCTCACAGCCCACCTGGTGTTAAGTGGTTACTGGAGCCCATAGACGTCTACAACGTAAATGCGCCACCCACCTCGAGATATAAGTTCTAAGATCTCAGTTTTCAATTGCTAATATTACATTTTAATATACTATTCAGTGTTAATCTCTACATGCAGTTGTAGTTCTAATCTTCGCTGTTGGGTTTCACTATTCAGCCTATATAGGTATATACCGCGAAGGCGTTTATGTTGTTCTATAAAAACAAGTCTAAGTTCACTCTCATAGTCTCAAAGGTATGACGACGTCATAACGTCAATAGGTCTCTGTAAACGTTTGAAGTCACCGTGAACTTGATTTTGACTGGACTCTTGAGTGCAGTTTTATCTTCTGAAGAATATGTATCAATCGATATCATATTAATATCTGCTTTGTGTGCATCCAGCTTTGACAAGGATCATTCGAACATTGAGTTCCTTCACAAGCTCCGCGGGACGATATACGCGATGGCCGAAGGCGACGATAAGCTGGACCGGGAGGCTGCGATCTACGCGACTGTATTGATACCGATTGTGTTCTTGCATAGATACCGAGACACCTGGTGTCTACTTGAAAGGGTAAGACGGCTGACGGCTTTTTGAACACGGATATAGTCGCATCGTTTGATAGGGTCCAACGGTATTGCTTAGATGGGTGGACGAGCTCACAGCCCTCCTGGTATTAAGTGGTTACTGGAGCCCATAGACATCCACAACGTAAATTCGCCACCCACCTTGAGATATAAGTTCTAAGGTCTCAGTATAGTTTACAACGGCTGCTCCACCCTTCAAACCGAAACGCATTATAGCTTCACGGCAGAAATAGGCAGAGTAGTGGTACCTACCCGTGCGGACTCACGAGAGGTCCTACCACCAGTAATTACGCAAATAATAATTTTGCGTGCTTGATTTTTATTCGTCAGTTTGTCTGTTAGACGACTGTCATAACCATATAATCTTCGACTTAATATCTCAAGGTCTAAGTATCTTCACAGCTCGCGTCTAAGATAGGGTATTTATTGCTGTTCATATTTAAACGGTGTTTGTTAGTTGATTACGATTAATTATTACAGTTTCACAGAGGATTGCGCATCTATCAAATATCGCATCCCACTGAAAAGAGGACCGCACTGAAGCTACTCCAAAATCTTAAGCCAGTCGAGCATAAGGTACTTATTAACTCATTGTAATTCAATATTTTAGTCATTTTTTGGCGTGACAACGTCTTATAATTCGATAGAGCCGGCTGCACTCACGAAAAAACATGACGCATGCGGCGTTACCTTGCTCTGAGGCGTACATGTTTTCGTCAAGTATGAAGTTCAATGAAAAGTGAATGTGGTTTCAATTGTTTATAGCAACGATAATTGCGATAATTGAAAAATGAAACCATTCCATCAGTATTTTCTTATGACGTCGTCACGTTCAACTATCGTCAGTAAACCGACTTTACAGACAATCGATTTTTTACGTATAATATTTTTTGGACTCAAAGCCTGTAGTTTGAAAATCGATGTTCTTTATTTTTTTCAATACTAGCATTTTCTGGTGTGTTTCTGTAGGAACATGAGACGAGTGCATCCCCGTATTTATTTATTTATTTATACATTTAACAAAAATAAATACAACTCTATGGCTATACGGAATTCCAAAATGGATACTTGTGGACCGTTCCAGTGGCAGCGATACAAAAAAAACAAAGTCATTATATTCATTAATATATTTATGTATTTTTCGATGCATAATCGGATGAAGAATCTTCTAGTGTTGACTGGTTAGTGAGGCTCATAGACGTCACAACGCGAATGCTACCTCTAACTTTGAAGCATGAAGTCGAAATTTCAATTGTTTTGGACATTTGCCCTACCCTTGAAATTGGAAAGCAGAATTCTTCATGTCTAAAATAGGTAAGCAGGGAGGACCAGTAGATGCTGGTCAGTTTTAAGGTAGACCGATTGAGTCCCATTGTCATCTTGTGCGACGACCGCGAAAAGAGATGAGGGGGCTATATACGACTTAGAATCCAGACAGCCAAATCCGATAAGCTTACCATTTTTATTTGTAGATCCGTTCCTTCATCTCTGATCTCCCGGGGTCTCCTGCCGTCACTCGTACGTCTCATCCTCGTCTAGAAACGGATGACGAGGAGCTATACGATCGGAAGGACGTTAAATATTTGAAAGAACTAATAAAAAATCTTGGTTAATTATTACTCAAATTTTTTTTTATTTCTTAAAAAATTTCTTTTGTTAAGATATTACTGCTCATAATATTAGGAGCCTACAGGGACGTGGCACCACATTCTCCGAGATACAAGTAGCACTTTCATTGGCCGTGCTATAAATCTGCAAATCGAAACGCATTAGTATTTTGCGATACTAATAGCAACTGTGACTGGTTTGCGCATGCCCCTTAGTTAGGGGCAGTTAGTAAATCATCGTTACAAGAAGACCTGTCAATAAGTGTTTTTCTACTAATATATTATAAACTAGCCGAACTCGCCCTCTTCGCTAGGCATTTAAAATTAACATTATTATTTGTTGTCATTATTGTTACGTCGGTAAAGAGTAACGCCATCTATCGCTGAATAATCGAACGAATATCGAAGGATCTAGTAGCGCCCAGAATGCTCGAGAAGTATAACGCCATCTATTGACAGATATCGGGAACTACTACTAGAGAGATGTATAGAATATTCTCGATAATTCTAGGGATGAGGTATTGGCTATAAAAGCGTTGTAGATGGCACGCAGTCAGTCGGTAATCGGAACTACTCGAAGCGAAACAGCGAAAAGATCACCTAGAGCGAAGCGCAACAAGCGAATTGAGAGTTTTAAAGTGTTTGTTGAGTGTTTTAAAGTGTTTGTGAAGTGTTTAAGTGTTTTAAGTGTTGAATACAGTTTTTAAGTTGTACTTTGGTGAAATTTTATTACCCCAGCGCGTAACATTATTAAGTATTAGGGAGTTCAACGCTCATATAAATATTAGCCTATCCATTAAGTACATGTATTTTCTACATGGATACCAAGTTTCAAGTCAATAGGATGCATGGTTCAGTAGTTATAACGGAACATCCGTAAAAACCACTGTAGATTTATATATTAGTATGGATGTGAAAGTTTGTGACGATGTTTGTTACTCAATAGCCCTTGAAGCCGTTGTACAGATTTGGAATTGAAAATTGGCCCATAGAAAGACCGTTTTAATTAAAATCAAAAAACCCAGAAAAAATTTTATTCCGGTAACGAGTTCCCCTGGGACAAAAGTATGTCGCATCCGGATACAACAAACGAAGCGAAAGCGTGCCACCTAGTGAATGTGAGCCGCAACTACTCGTGAAACATGGGCTCACTTCGGGTGGTGTGCTTCAGAGCCCTACAACTGCAATACTTTAAGATAAATATTTTTTTGTATGGAATCTACCGACATCTTGTAGTGGATGCCCCTAAACTTATATGTTGTTAAAATTAAGGCATTTAATTTATTGTACAAGTAAACACAGAAAATAAAAAAATTAATCAATCATACAAATCTTTATTTGTTATAGGCAAATTGAATTATCAATTTGTGGTTTCTGAAAATTTACAGAATCCTTCATTAAAAATAAAATATAGGATAGGTAATTGATGTTACTGCCATCTACAGGAGCAATGAGAAACTAATCGAAACGAAGCCATCTAGTGGCCGACGCCCGTGAACATTTTTGTTGAGTGCTTGAATTGTTTATCTATAACTAATTTATGTGTATTATCTATGGTGTGCTTCGCTAGAATCGAGGTGTCATCGCTCGAGTGGAATCGAAATACATTCGTTGCCTGAGTTAGGAAGAGTGAAGACGTCTCGGAACTGTCATCGTATCGTTCTTGCCAATCTCTTTACACACGTTTCTCACTAAATCGAGCATAATCCGTTAAACGAATATGGATACAGTTTTATCTTGGGGAAGTTACTGTTTACGCGAACTAAAAGCCAAAAAATAGTTACTTAATAAAAATTAATATCACTTTTAACAGTCTTTATACATATAACGGGCATATAAAGATCCAATAACTCAAGAACAAGATTGTAATCTATTTTTAACACAGGGCTTGAGATATCTTTCAAGTTTTACATTTACCTTACTGGTGGTAGGACCTCTTATCATTCCCCGCGGGTAAGTGAGTCGACTATTATCAAAGCCGGCAATGTGACTTTTGGACAATTATTGGTAAATCAGAAAAACGAATTATTGACTTTGTATTCCATTGGCAGTCACAAAACTCTTCTGAACGACATCTTAGATAAATAACAGGTTAACTATTAACCTTTATTTAATGCAGGTTTTGAACCGTATTCTTTGAAGGAGACGATTATATTCAAATCAATCTGTATTGACATATCAATAACGTTTTTTTGTCCAAATGCACAGATTGCCACCTTTGATAATAGACGACTCAAGTACCCTGCCTATTTCTGCCGTGAAGCAGTAATGCGTTTCGGTTTGAAGGGTGGGGTAGCCGTTGTAACTATACTGAGACCCTTAGAACTTATATCTCAAGGTGGGTGGCGCATTTACGTTGTAGATGTCTATGGGCTCCAGTAACCACTTAACACCAGGTGAGCTGTGATCTCGTCCACTCATCTAAGCAATAGAAAAAAAAACGTTCCATCAGAGCGAATTTATCAACATTCAAATTATTGTCTCTTCTTAATTTGATTAGTTTGTACTCCTAATTATGTTAACTCAATTTATGTTTTCCTATTATTATCGTTGTCATTAGGACTATAATCTGAAATGTAATTGCTCAAGAGTTGTTACCAAGTAATTTGTCGGATTAAACTAGTAATCATTATATAAAAAGTACTAGCGACCCGCCCTCGCTTCGCTTCCGAAACTGTAATTTATTATTGATTTCTCCATTATTTAATGGATGTTATTATACATATAAACCTTCCTCTTCAATCACTTTAACTATTAAAAAAAACCGCATCAAAATCCGTTGCGTAGTTTTAAAGATTTAAGCATACATAAGGATATAGGGACAGAGAAAGCGACTTTCCGTTATCTATATATTAATACGTGAAGCAAAAACTTTGTATCCCTTTTTACGAAAATTGCGCGGACAGAGGAGTATGAAATTTTCCACACTTATAGAGAATATAGAGAAGAAGTGCACAATGCTAATATTTTTTTAAATAATGCATAAAAGATACATTAAATCAATAAATAAAAACATTACACAGACTACATACCATGTATTTGACGCACACACGCATGCATACTATTTATTGTCAAACTTTTGTTCTTGACGTCTGTTGTCAAATTGAGATTAAATATTGTTAGCCTTTGTTAATATTTTTTATAGTGTAGTCTTGGCGAAATTTGTTATTAAAGAAGTATAAAATACAATCATAATAGTGTACAAACTTAAAATTCCAATGAATTATAATCGAATTTCGACTACTGCGGGACCTCTAGTACTAAGTAGTGATACGAAACAAATTAATGTTTTCACAAATATATATTGTAACCTTCACAAATGTATAATATGGCAAATTGAACCTTGGAAACGTATTTTAATACCATTACCGGAATATTTTTGTGTGCTATTCACACATTCGTTTATAAGCGTTCCTGTTTTCGTTGATTTTCGAGAAAATAAAAAGGATCGCGAGCATCATCAAAGCCAACACTATCAGGACAAGCATAATGTGAATGAATACGGTGTTGTTGCACGGCTTGTAGTAATCGTTGCCCCGGAAGCACCACTGCGCGTCATTCGAGATTCGCTCCAACTCACGATTCAGATGCGTCTCAAATACGATAGCACCGCGTTTCTCGATTGAAACTTTTCCAACGGTTTTGGGGTATCTGTCGCCAAGCATCTCTGTTATGTAAGCATCGATGTCACCATTTCGTATTGACGTTTTTAGTTCAGCCGTAATTTTTCTGAAAAAAATTGAGGAATGGTTAGAGGCTATTGTCATGTTTTTTAACGCTTTATGTTAAAATATGATATATATTAAAATATGTTAAAATATGAAAAACAATATTGTTATTTCTATTTAAATCCGAGCATTTTCATATTTATCTACCTTTTAAACCTTCTTTGGACTTTCAAAAATAATTTAAGACCAAAATTAGCCAAATCGGTCCAGCCGTTCTCGAGTTTTAGCGAGACTAACGAACAGCAATTCATGTTTATATAGATATACAATCAAAATTAACAGTTACCTATAAAAATCTTTTTTCGTGATACTATTAGGGACGTGTGCAGTATTTTTGTAAGCTCTCGCTAGTAAATTCACCAATGTAAATATCCTTTTGGTGTGTATTCCGTCGATATTATCTTGAAGTTTATAAACGTTTGCCGGTGTTAGTGATAACGAAATAACCGAACCCATACTCTGAAATCAAAGGGTAAATAATAATAAACTAGAGGTCCCGCGGTAGTCGAAATTCGACTATAATTAATTGGAATTGTAAGTGTGTACACTATTATGATTGTATTTTATACTTCTATAATCACGAATTGCGCCAAGACTACACTGTAAAAAATATTAACAAAGACAAACAATATTTAATATCAATTTGACAACAGACGTCAAGAACAAAAGTTTGACAATAAATAGTATGAATGCGTGTGTGCGTCAAATACATGGTACGTAGTGTGTATAATGTTTTCTTTATTGATTTAATGTATCTTTTATGCATTATTTAAAAAAAATATTAGCATTGTGCACTTCTTCTCTATATTCTCTATAAGTGTAGAAAATTTCATACTCCTCCGTCCGCGCAATTTTCGTAAAAAGGGATACAAAGTTTTTGCTTCACGTATTATAATAATAAATACTCCTTAGTAAATACTCCGTAATGTCCTTTAGTAAATAATAATAACAAGAGGTGAAAGGTATTTTATTTTTATTTTTTATTTCTAGATTTTTTTTATTGCCCTTGTAGGCAGACGAGCATACGGCCCACCTGATGGTGAGTGGTTACCGTCGCCCATGGACTTCAGCAATGCCAGGGGCAGAGCCAAGCCGCTGCCTACCGCAAAAAGCGTTTTAAGCGGTATTTAGCTTAATGCACGACATTTAGCTCTGTAATTAAAGGTGCTTTTTATGTGGTATTAGCATCAACTATTCTATGTTTTTAATTGATTCAATCAATCCATTCAAATAGCTAAAGATGTTTCTTTGTTATGATATTCCTACCAAATTTTAAACTTTATATGGCTCTCATGTAAAGCCTTCCACCCCTCGATATCATCAGTAGTATTAGTAGTACACAGTTTACAGCAAATGTAGCCTAATTACAACTAATTACAGATTCACATCCGTCACATCATATTTAAGACGTCTAGATCTATATATTAATAAGTGAAGCAAACACTTTGTACCCCTTTTTACGAAAATTGCGCGGACAGAGGAGTATGAAATTTCCCACACTTATAGAGAACTAGCGACCCGCCCTCGCTTCGCTTCGGAAACATTAAAACACACATGAAACAAAACAAAAAAAAATTTTTTTTAAAAAAAGTAGCCTATGTTCATCAGGGACAATGTCGGCTTCTAATGGAAAAAGAATTTTTCAAATGGGTCCAGTAGTTTCGGAGCCTATTCGAAACAAACAAACAAACAAATCTTTCCTCTTTATAATATTAGTATAGATATAGAGACGGACTGCAGAATGCTAATATTTTTTTTTAAATTATGCATATAAAATACATTAAATCAATAAAATAAACATTACACACACTATCATGTTTTTGACACACACACACACGCATAAATAATCTTTTGTTTAATATTAAAGTCTGTGGTCAAATTGAGAATAGATTAATATTGTTTGTCTATAGTGTAGCCTTGACGAAATCAGTAATTAAAGAAGTTATAGTCTTTGACAATAGAACCATAATAATGTTCAAACTTATAATTTAAATTAATTATAGTCGAAATTCGACTCCTGAGCGACCACTAGTTTGTATAAATAAGCAGACGTAGCACGGTTACCTGATTCTTAAAGCATCACGGGTAGATACCACCACCCTGCCTATTTCTGCCGTGAAGCCGTAATGCGTTTCTGCGTTTCGGTTTGAAGGGTGGGGTAGCCGTTGTAACTGTACTGAGACCTTAGAACTTATATCTCAAGGTGGGTGGCGCATTTACGTTGTAGATGTCGATGGGCTGCGGTGACCACTTAACACCAGATGGTCTGTGAGCTCGTCCACCCATCTAGATAATAAAAAAAATTACCTTGAGACAAGAGATTGAAGTCCCAATCATTGTTACTTTCAGTTCTGCTGTCGAAATTATATAAAAACTCTTACCGTGGAAACGTCTTCCTCGAAAGGCCAGTCCCTGGACACCCAAACGATTCCATTCAGCTTCATCACTTGTTGAACTTGTTTGGCCAGTTGCATCCCATTTCGTTTGTCTATATTCACTATTACAATTCCGGCATCCGCCGCTCTGAGTTTACGTAGTGCCTTTAAATAATATATATATAAGTTTAGTTATTTAGTACCTGAGCGCGGGTGTGGTGACAACTGTAACTGTCAACATAATAATTCAATATTGAAAAAAAAATTGAAAAAATTTAAATTCAATTAAAAAATAAAAAATAGTTTAAAGAAACTAACAAAATACGTTTTTATAGAAAATCCAATTAAAAAATAGAAAATAAATTTTAATAAATTTGAATTAAAATTAGTGTACAAAAAAAGGGTTTTATTGTAAAAAAGCGTGGGGTGCTTTGCAGGATATTATCAAAATAACTCTTCTACTCATATCTATCTGTTCATAAAATATTTATTACTACTGATACCATGCACCCCGCGCTTTTTTTACAATAAAATCATTTATTCTTCATTTCAATTTTTTAATTTTTTTTTTAAATGTTAATTTGTCGTCGGTCCTTAATAAGTTTATCAAATTTCGAGTTAATCCGACGTTTTGAAGGGGGTCAAAATCATGTTCAAATATTCCGTTACATACTAACATACATACGCCTGAAGCTAATAAAAGCGTATTAAAAAGAAAAATGTTTTTGACATTATCAACTTTGAGAGCCGGTGTTCTCTCGGGAGACCCAGATAAAGAAATTCCTTTCGAACAATAACGTAATCTTTAATTTTCGAGCGAAGTTCGAAGCTGAGTTTCACAAAACAGCGATCATAATAATGAAACATCAGATTCGTGCCCTTTGTTTAAACAGAAATCTATATATATAAAAGAAAGTCGTGTTAGTTACACTATTTATAACTCAGGAACGGCTGAACTGATTTGGCTGAAAATTGGTGAGGAGGTAGCTTAAAACCAGCAGAAGGACATAGGTTACTTTTTATCACGTTCCCGTGGGACGCGACATGAAACGTGGTATAACAAAACGCAACTGATATGGAATAACAAAACGCAACTGACAGCTAAACGTAATATATTCTATGGTTAATTATAGTAGAATTTTGAAGTTGGGTACGTACTACCACCCTGCCTATTTCTGCCGTGAAGCAGTAATGCGTTTCGGTTTGAAGGGTGGGGCAGCCGTTGTAACTATACTGAGACCTTAGAACTTATATCTCAAGGTGGGTGGCACATTTACGTTGTAGATGTCCATGGGCTCCAGTAACCAGTTAACACCAGTTGGGCTGTGAGCTCGTTCACTCATCTAAGCAATAAATAAATAAAAAAGTTGACGTGTTTAAAACAAACTGTGTGGCGGAACAAAGTTCGCCGGGTCCGCTAGTACTTATTATAAGTTAGACAAATCGTAAGTGTTCATAAAAAGAACTCACTGGTTTGAAATCGATAATACCGTGAACATTCTCGAAACATTCTAGTGCTGTATGAAGTATTCCTTCTTTCTTGAACATGGTAGTAAGCATGTCCTGAAACATTAAGCTGTATGCCCATGTATCGGAAATCACTGCGACTCTATTCCAATAGGTTTCCTTTAAGAAACTTTTAAATCCTATTTCGAATAACTCCATTGATTTTTTCACATTGACGACATTGAAAACGTTGCTGCTATCATAATAATCCTGCTGAGAATTTTCATAGATAATTATCGGGCTTGCGAGATCTGATTCTATTTGTTTCGGCGTTAACACGGCCAATATAGTTTCCTTGTGAGTTCTGATATCTTCCTCGCATTTATCCGAGTAAATTAAATTCAAACCAATATCGTCACTGAAATGTAGCACGTGTTTGACATGAACATTGAACTTATTCAAACATATCAGTACTTTGTTGGGTTTTTTGTCAATGTCAATACTTAGTTTTTTATTAGGGAATCCAAATATATATTGCTCCAATTCTTTCATTCGCGCTATATTTGCTGTCATTAGCTTAGCGATCTTCCTGGTGGGTTGTGGTTGGGTTACGTAATTTCTATTCCTTATAACCCCGTTGTTTATCAGCAAAGTTGAGGTGTTGAGATCGATATCGCCGGCGTATAGGAGATTGTTTTTTAGAATTTCATCGTAATTAGTTTTATAGAAATCATCTACGTGGATATTGATCACTATGCTGTTTCTGTAAATTTTTAAAAATAATCAAGAATTTTATAGGCCCCGTGAATGTTTAGTTTCTCTTTCAAATTTGGTTGTCATGTTTTGTTTTTAAATATGTTTAGATTTTAAGGATTAGTTCTTCTGTTTTGTTAATAAAAATTCTCTTTTATCACTAATAAAAGCAGTGAAAGGTTCTATATCTACATATGCAAAGACTATATTATTATTATTAGACGGTATAATTTTTTTCTGTTTGTCTTAATACATAGAAAAACACATTCATAAATCTAGTTAAAGCCTTTGAAAATATTCAGTTCGTTTTTTTTTAAGGTGATCAAGCAATTGTATTTATCATGATCATCATCATCATCATTATCATAGCCGGTTACTATTGGCAGAATAGTCGTGGTCATGGGGAATTCTTATTTCTTAAAGCCTTGCCAGCTGTTCCTCATAATTCACGAGCTGAGGCTTGGCGAACGCACTTGTTAAATGGGGTTCTGTGTGCTCAGTGCGAGTTTCTTAACGTTCTCGATAGCGTAAAAGTTAACGCAGCTTTGTATGCAGTTGGAACAGCGCCCCTAGCGGCAAACGTAGGCAAACGATCCCATTCCATACAAATATGAATTAACTTTTACGCTATCGAGAACGTTAAAAACGTAAAAAAAATGAAGTCGTCGTGGCCTAAAGGATAAGACGTCCAGTGCATTCGTATATAGCGATGCAACGGTGTTCGAATCCCGCAGGCGGGTATCAATTTATGTAATGAAATACGTACTTAACAATTGTTCACGATTGACTTCCACGGTGAAGGAATAACATCGTGTAATAAAAACCAAACCCGCAAAATTATAATTTGCGTAATTACTGGTGGTAGGACCTCTTGTGAGTCCGCACGGGTAGGTACCACCGCCCCGCCTATTTCTTCCGTGAAGCAGTAATGCAGCAGTAATTGCGCTAAAACTATTTACATTAATTTTATTTATAACTATCATACCTAACTCACCTGTTTAGTTTAGTAATTTTTATTGTGGTTTCCACGTCTGCTCTAGATCGGTAGCAAATTTCAAATTTTATTTTGAATCGATTGAATACGTTATGCAGATTTTTATACATATGCTGCGCATACGGAGGTGCATTTTTTGATTCTAATAATATAATTTTGTTTACCGGATTCTCTGAAATTAAAAATAAAGTTTGATATCTTCATCCGATGTCTAGTTAGTTGAATGCTGATTGTAAATTGGTTGTTGCTGAAAATTGTTGGACGCTTGAGGTCGAATCTTTAACAGTACTGTATTACGTGTGATTCATCCTTCAAAGCGCATATTCTATGTGTGGAGTACACTGTTCTGATAAGTGACAGAGAGTCAACTAAACAGCATTGATTATATTAGGCAAAGTGTAAAAACGAGTGTATTCAGAAAATATTCTGATTAAAGAACTAAACGGACGAAATATTTCGACTTTACTGGTGGTAGGACGTCTTGTGTAGTACCGAGTAGGTATCACCATCCTGCCTATTTCTACCGTGAAGCAGTAATGCGTTTCGTTTAGAAGGGTGGGGCAGCCGTTGTAACTATACTGTGAACTTGTGTGTGCTTGTTGTGTGTGCGGGCCGCGTGAGAGAACACCACACTCGCGTAAGTCATGACGGGCCTTATGCAAATTTTGTAAAGTGTCACCTTGTTCCGAGGGGACATTTTACTCCGCTTACATACCAAACATACATGCCAAATGAAGTGTGTACTAAATGCTGAATTAAACTGATAGAATTTATACCATAAGTAGTATTAAGTTTAAATTATTATCTAGCACGGCCAATTGTTGTGTTTTGCGATTTAGAACCGCTTGCTTCTNATGACGGGCTTTATGCAAATTTTGTAAAGTGTCACCTTGTTCCGAGGGGACATTTTACTCCGCTTACATACCAAACATACATGCCAAATGAAGTGTGTACTAAATGCTGAATTAAACTGATAGAATTTATACCATAAGTAGTATTAAGTTTAAATTATTATCTAGCACGGCCAATTGTTGTGTTTTGCGATTTAGAACCGCTTGCTTCTCCGCCAGTGTAAGCGATTATAATCACTATTAGAACATCACAAAAGACAATTTGACAAACAGCGGAATTGCTTACTGCTTAAATTCAGCTCCTAATAACGTTAATGCCAAAGTAATTTAGGGACTTACCTTTAAAATTTTGCAGCTCCACGGAATGTACGAGAATAAATGCTAATATTATAATAACCTTTGAATAACAAGACGTTTGCATTTTTAAACGACAATATTGTTTTGATGCCAACCAAAGTCTGGGTTCGGAGTTACGGAACACAGAAGGAAAACGCAAAATTGTGATCGATGTTGTAAACATACAGGAAAATAATAAATTGAATTTGACATTATGTTGTTTTACGCTTCGATCAATAATAATACTACTAAATTCGCGATTAGCGCTTCAAAAACGGCCCGAAAAATAAGACCACAAATAAATTTGTGGTCTTATTTCAAATTAGTATGGTCCAATCATAGCCAACACTAAGACGTCAAAACGCTGCAATGCGCGTTCAAAAACTGAGTAAAAAACCACCGTAACACCAAGGTTTTGGAAGGAATATCTTTTTTTGGTAAATTTATATTATTAAGTGTTTTTCATAAAATAATAAACACAATTATATTGTAAATAAAACACAATTTACGAATATTGTAATTGTTTGGCCAATGTTTGCAACAAGGCACCAACTATTGTAACAAACATCACCTATTCTTGGACAGGGAATGCATAGAGTAGTTTTGTTATTTTATAATGTTATTTTTGTTTGTAGATTTCCTAGTAGCCCCTTGTCGCTGTGCACAATGGATATATATTGTCGCGAAAGAAAGAGGAGAAGAAATATAGAACTCTTATAAAAATTCTAGAATTGTTCAATGGTGGTGGCAAATCAATGCAAAAAAGTATTAAAAAAACTTTATATGTATGTGTAAATATTTTAAGCGTATATGCTGAAAAGGATTTGTTTTCTGGGGGAAACGAACACAGCCATAAAATAAGCCTAAATTAAACTGATTATAGAAAAATTCATTGATATAAGATTACATTATATTTGTAAAAAAGAAACCGCTCATATAAAAATGACTTCTAAAAGACAGCTTTATAACAAACTGAATCTGTTTAAAGGTAATTAAACCTACATTATTGTTTTAATTACTTCTGTATAAAGAATACGTGGAAAACATGTTTCGTGTTTCCTTTCATATTTTTTTTACTTTATTCAATTTTATTTTTTATCACCTATTTGTTGTAATAGCGGCAATGTAAAATATTATCTACTACTTTTTTGAATCGGTCAAAAATAGTTGCGACCATACAAAACAAACCTAAAACAAATATGTATATTCTGCAACTCTATGTCTTTCAATACTTACTGTGTTCTGAGCATTGAAATGTAATACCAAGAACTACATCTAGTTCCACAATACAATAAGCACGAAATTTTAAACAAATATTTTTAACCTTATAAATTAGGCTTTAAGTATCATTTTAGAATAAATATTTTTGTACTGATGACTTTTTATGTTCAAGTGACATTTTAAATTTATTCCATAATATTCTTTTTCTGACGAAAGGACCTAAATACATATATTTTGCAATGGTAATTAAACTTTATGTTTAAGTATTAAGGTTTATAATAAACTGAAGTCGTTAACATTATTAAACTTTTTTCTAAGAAATGAAGATGTTTTCGTGTCTGCAAACGTGGCCACTGGAGCGTCTTATTTTTTTTCCTGATCTTTAATCTAGTACTATTATTGATCGAAGGTTTTACGTCAAAAGAGTTGTGAAACAATTCGATTGTTCATCAGTGGATTATAGCTAATATGCATCCTATGCTACTTCTGTTTTTTTTTTACTTTTTATTGCGTAGATTTTTATTGGTGGTAGGACCTCTTGGGATCCGCACGGATAGGTACCACCACCCCGCTTATTTCCGCCGTGAAGCAGTAATGCGTTTCGGTTCGAAGGGTGGGGTAGCCGTTGTAACTATACTGAGACCTTACGGCCTGGCCACGGGGATCGGCGGTGCGAACAGCGAAGCGGTGGGCGAGGCGACCATTCGCGCAGCACCGTTTGCAGGCCACGGGTACTCACGTTCGCCGCCGCGACTAGTAAGGAAGTCCGACAGCGAAATGTCTATATCGAAATTATCTCGATATTGCTTACAAATTAATAGTTTTTTTGGTTCAGGACCTATTATTGGAAAAGATTGTGAAGTACATGATTTGAATAAGAATCGGAGTATACCTATAGATGGAGAATTCCACAAGAAGTACGAGAAATACTTTGGGTGGCTAGACTTCCAAATAGCTGGTCTAGCTAGTATTTCAGCTATTTTATTTTTTTATTGCTTAGATGGGTGGACGAGCTCACAGCCCACCTTGTGTTAAGTGGTTACTGGAGCCCATAGACATCCACAACGTAAATGCGCCACCCACCTTGAGATATAAGTTCTAAGGTCTCAAGTATAGTTATAATGGCTGCCTCACCCTTCAAACCGAAACGCATTACTACTTCACGGCAGAAATAGGCAGGGTGGTAGTACCCACCCGTGTAGACTCACAAGAGGTCCTACCACCAGTAATTACGCAAATTATTATTTTGAAGATTTCATTTTTATCACACGATGTTATTCCTTCACCGTGGAAATCAATCGTGAACGTTGAGTGTTGTTGAGTACGTATTTCATTACAAAAATTGGTACCCGCCTGATATTCGAACACCGGTGCATCGCTCAACACGATTGCACCGGACGTCCGTTAGGCCACGACGACTTTAAAAATATAAAATAAAAAATAAATAAAAAATATAAAAATTTCGGCGTTAATTTTTCGCGGCGAAAACAACTAAACTCATTTAATCACTGCACTATTCGCCGCGACTACCGCTCGACTCCGTGGCTCGCGCCGTCCGTATTCATGCATTTGTTTTGCTCGCCCGCCGCATCGCGCGATTCGCTCGGTACATTTCGCCGGTCGCTTCGCCGGTCGCCGGTGCGCGTGGCTTGTTAGGTACATTTCTATGCGCTTATTTTAGTCGCTAGACGCTTCGCCGTTCGCACCGCGCGAATATTCGCATCGGCGAATGTCCCGTGGCCAGGCTGTTAGAACTTATATCTCAAGGTGGGTGTCGCATTTACGTTGTGGATGTCTATGGGTTTCAGTGACCACTTAACATCAGGTGGGCTGTGAGCTCGTCCATCCATCTAAGCAATAAAAAAAAGACAGGTGAACGAGCTGGCGGCCCACTTGTTGTTAAGTGGTCACCGGAGCTTGATGACAACGTGAATGCCGCTACCCGCTGAGATGCACGTTTAATTTTCATAACACGATGTTATTCCTTCTCCGTGGAAGTCATCCCTGAACATGTGCTATATAATTATTTATTTCATTAGAAAAATTGTTCCTTATCTGCCGGATTTGAACACCGGCGATGTGACTTTGCAACGTTCGATAAGAGTATAATGGGAGTCGTATGCTTTAGGCGGGGAGGACTGTATTTCCTTAACTCATTTGTAACATTAGTATCTTGTTTTCAATCATTTTCTCCTTCCCAATTTCTTTCTAACACCACGCCCTTAATGTCCTGCTAACATTAAAGCAAGATTGGCATTAAGATTTGTGATAAGATAAGAACTAATAGTCGTTTATAACAGGTAGACTGTGTAGCTGGATTTGGTAATTTAATGCAAAAAAATATTAAAATATGTTAACTCGATCAAATGTCAGTTCTTTCAAAGTAATTTTGATGCGTGAATTTCCTTGTAATAACGATGTAAAAATAATTAAATGTGTTCATTAGGTCAATTTTTATGTACTTTTGCTTTTTTTTTTGGTAGTAGTTTAGTAGTCGTCGTGGCCTAACGGATAAGACGTCCGGTGCATTCGTGTTGAAGCGATGCACCGGTGTTCGAATCCCGCAGGCGGGTACCAATTTTTCAAATGAAATACGTACTCAACAAATGTTCACGATTGACTTCCACGGTGAAGGAATAACATCGTGTAATAAAAATGAAACCCGCAAAATTATAATTTGCGTAATNGTGTTCGAATCCCGCAGGCGGGTACCAATTTTTCAAATGAAATACGTACTCAACAAATGTTCACGATTGACTTCCACGGTGAAGGAATAACATCGTGTAATAAAAATGAAACCCGCAAAATTATAATTTGCGTAATTACTGGTGGTAGGACCTCTTGTGAGTCCACGCGGGTGGGTACCACCACCCTGCCTATTTCTGCCGTGAAGCAATAATGCGTTTCGGTTTGAAGGGTGGGGCAGCCGTCGTTACTATACTTGAGACCTTAGAACTTGTATCTCAAGGTGGGTGGCGCATTTACGTTGTGGATGTCTATGGGCTCCAGTAACCACTTAACACCAGGTGGGCTGTGAGCTCGTCCACCCATCTAAGCAATAAAAAAAAAATAAAAAAAAGTAAGAATTAGGGAAGCGGTAGGCAGCGGCTTGGCTTTGTCCATGGCGTTGCTGACGTCCATGAGCGAATGTAACTACTTACCATCAGGTGAGCCGTATGCACGTCTGCCTGCTGGGGCAATAAAAAAGTATTTTTTTTGGTAGGTAGTAAGAATTGCTGGTGGTTCGGAGGCCCTACCAGTTTGACCAGGTGAGTTGGGCGAGCATAGGCTCAGCCAGGAGGGGTGGGATCTGCCAACAGCTGTCCGACCTGATACCGGAGAGTTAATTCGCGAACGCGTCTGCTACCGAATTGCAATTACGACAAGGTATGAAGATCCGGCGAGAAACTTACCGTGTTGGTGTATGGGTTAGATTACCAGAGTCCCTATACCTGAGTGCTGCGTCCTATAGTAGAGATAGTTGATCATATTGATCCATAAGGCGTGTCTAGGACGTCGACGGTGACTGGCTTCTGCGTGAGTTGGGTATTATTTTTCCTTTATCTCTTTATCGTTTATTTTAATATTATAAATGACAAAGTTTTATGTTTGGATGTTTGTTGATAGATCAACAATCAAAAGAGGCTGATCTTTAATTAAATCTTTTTTATAGCTTAGATGGGTGGACTAGCTTACGGCTCACTTGATGATAAGTAGTTACCGGAGCCCACAGACATCGATAACGTAAATGCCGTCACCTATCTTGAGACATGAGTTCTAAGGTCTCAGTTTTAATAGTACAACGGCTGCCCCGCACTTCAAACCTAACCGCGTTACGGCTTCACGGCAGAAATAGGCGGGGCGGTGGTAATTTTGCGGGTTTGATTTTTGTTACACAATGTTATTCCTTCACCGTCGAAGTCAATCGTGAACATTTGTCAAGTACGCATTTCATTGAAAAAATTGGTACCTTGAATATTTCAGCCGTGAAGCAGTAATGCGTTTCGGTTTCAAGGGTGGGGCAGCCGTTGTACTATACAGAGACCTTAGAACTCATATCTCAAGGTGGTTGGCGCATTTACGTTATAGATGTCTATGGGCTCCGGTAACCACTTAACACCAGGTGGACTGTGAGCTCGTCTGCGCATTTAGGCAATAAATTTTAAAAAAAAACGTCATCCGGGCAACTCCGGGTATATATATCTGTTATTATAAATACGACAGTAATTCAGACAACGGTCGCTTGCGTCTTTATGTCTTAATCCATTGGTACTTTATGGATCGAAGGTTGACAAGCAATTCTTTATCCCGGATAAAATAACATCATTCACTATTTGAAACTCGCCAAAACGTAAAGATTGAAATATTGATGTGCCTTTGAAAAACAATGAAATATCTTCAAAAATGCCACTTGAAATTTCTTGGGGTAGGTTAAATGTAGAATTAGAGATTTAAGTGTGACTGCTTCGGACTACATTCTCGTTATAGGGGCTTTAGTAATGTGAATTGTGCCTAATGCGATGAAAAAATAAGGTACATTTTTGTATATTGCGCAGCTTAATCTCCGAATACATGAAAAAAATCGCATACAGTCTCTCCAGTTGGAAAGCCATTGACAACAGCACCGAAATCCATTGTATATACCGTATGGTATATGGTATTATCGAATACCGTACTTATTTTAATGGGGCCAGAAATAACAAACTAAATTCTTTATCTGGAAAACTGGATACATCTTTATTGTACAAAAAAATCAATTAGAAGAACAATAAGATTGATCATCACCAAAATGAAAAGCCGTGTCGTTGATTTATATAATATATATTATATTAACGTATATTTATTTATATATTCATAAATAATCTAAAAAACTTCCAAAAAAAATCCTAACGCAAACACAATTTGCATAAAATGTCCTAAACACAATTAAAGTATACATAATTATTAATTTTAGTCTGTTTTTATATAGGTAGATTGTCTTATAATGATATATATGTTTGTATATGGTTATATATATCTTTTATATAATTATATATATACATTATTTACAGTTCTTATTTAGACGTGAACCTGGCTGGCTGCTTGTGCAATATATCTTTGAGCATTAGCAACTAAACCGGTCGCGTCATTACCGTTGCCAACGCCTCTCAGGAGCTGTGGATAATTAAAAACGTGAATTAATATATAGTAGTCCCAATTTAGGTGGTAAAAACAAGATGGACACCTTGCTGGCTTAAGTTTGATTCGTAGCTCTTATATGTCTGGATTGAAGGGCAGCTTTAAATCTATGAAGCGTGTTTTGAAAGAAATAATTTCAGCTTAAGTCTCATAGTGATGGTCACGTTGATATAAAGTTCTTGGTAGCAGAGTCCAATCTTTAAATCGCAGAGTGCAGGCAGTTACGAAATAACATACTAACACACTTTTATAAATTAGAATTAAATACGTGGATGCTTTAGATTTTTTTAAATCAAAATCACAGTTTTGTTATTTTGTTTTACTTCTCGAACCGACAGACATTATTTCACTTTTTTTTAAGACACCTATTCTCACTGCTGTCTATGTATATGTTTTTTTTTGATAAGGAGTTTCTATATCTATCAACTCCAAAACACGTTCACTTTGTGACCTTTGTGACATCAGTGACGAGTGATTGTGACGAATCGGCGATAAGCTCATCTGTCCAATCATTACTAATAACAAAATTACATAAAGACGCTCGGTAATTTAACGTAACTTACGTCTGTGATTGATCCAGCTGATTGGTGGAACACTTGAGCAACCGGGGGAAGTAAGTGAGCGGTGATGTAGGCAGCGATGTTGTTGCTTTGGCTGTTGCGAGAGTTGTACAATCTCTTGACGATGCAGTACTCTTCATTTAAGAAACTGTAATCGAATTGAAGGAAAGTAAAATACAATTCAATCGTCGGTACATTTCTTAATATATATAAATCACGTGTCACGTTGTTTGTCCGCGATGGACTCCTAAACTACTTAACCGATTTGAAATTAAATTTGCACACCGGGTGCAGTTTGATCCATCTTCAAAGATAGGATAGCTTACATCTTAATTTATAGCCGCAATATTATTTTATTGCAAATTATTTGTCTATTATTTGACATTCACAATTATCTGTTAACTTCAAACGATTTTAACAGATGGCGATATCTGTTGACTGGATTCAGTAAGTAATCAATAAATGGCGCTGCTATGTTAAACCTATAAATGTGTCATATAAGCTACCATTTAATAGCATAACCACCACGTGTTGTTGAGGCTAAACTATAAGTGAAAATTATTTCGTAGTAAATGCAATAAGGTGAAATCCAATTGGTCTTACTTTGTTAATTTTTGGTATTAGCATAGCCGGCCACGTGTTATTTAGAAACGAAAACCTTAGCCACAGCAACGTGTGGCCGAGACTGCTAGTTGAAATATATATTCTGGAGCTAGGACGTATCGGAAGTCCGCAAAAATAGGTACCACTATCCTGCCAATCTGTGCCAACCGTGCGAGATCATAACACACCCTTGTTGTCAATGCTATAGAGCCACACATTGCTAAAGGAGAGATGCTAGATGAGATAAAGTAGATGAATTTGGGTCAAGAACAATTATAGTAAAACATAAATTAGCGTGAAGCACGTGTAATTCGAGTTGGCTTCTATGAGTGAAGTAAAATCGTGCTATATTAGAACAGCTAAGATCACACTCATTTAAATGGGTGCACATGATTAAAATCTTATTAGCCTGTGTAATTAGCTAAAAGCTCCTGCGATCTGCGTTTGGAGGTGAGGAGTTAAGGACGGGGAGACGACACAAAGGATGCCAAGGGTGCAAACGTCTTCTGTTTGCTGCTTCTAAAGATTAAGATAAGAAGATATTGCAAAAGAATGAATGTCTCTAATGAAATACTAGAGATAAATTCTTAGAGTGATTGGTTCCTCGTGTGCCAGTTTACATTCATGTTTGGAACGCTCAATATGCTTACCCAGAGTCACTGCTGGCTAAGATTGCATCCCAAGCGGCTTCGAAGTCATAGATTCTTCCACCTCCGGCACAACCCAGGGCTGGTCCGACCTAAAAAAAACAACACTTGTTATTCTTACCCGCTGGTGAACATACTCGATTTGGACTAGTGTGGTTTATCATATTTCTCGAAAAACAATAGTTAAATATTTATACTAGAAGTTTGAATACAAAATTTAAAATACCCGTGACTTTTAAATTATCGTACACAATTAGCGCTCGTTTTCTCTTAAGTTCATCCTAGGACGGTTAGGAATCCATAGAATTGAGTTCCACTACCTAACTTGAGGCATGAAGTCGAGTTCTCGATTGCATTGGATCACGGCCATCCTACCAAAAACCGTCGTGCATATATTAGTAGATTTCTACTAAACTATTTAGCTTGGATGGTGATAGTATCCCGTGATGAAACGATCACTTTACCCAGGATAAGAATCAAGTGCCTCCCACTAAGTCGTTATCGGAGCCCATGGACGTCACAGAATATATTTTGCCGTTTGGCACGAGACAAGAGGTTTCGTAATTGACCTTTTTTGTATTCTTTTATATTATATTTTCTTCAGAACAAAAAGCGATATGGTAGTAACCTTATACCGCTATATTGACCTCAGTTTAGATTTCTCTAATCGATAAATCGAATATTTAAGCCCCGACCATGATTCAAGTATGTAACTCTTCGGTAACAATTGCTGAGTACTTACAGAGTATCGGAGTTGACCAGGGTTGGTGACGAGTTGATTGATAAGATTCAAGTTTTGTCCCACGTGTCCGAAGAAGGGACCGAGAGATTGTCTGAAGCCGGCGAAGTTTCCGGACCTGACGCCGTCTGTGTAAGAGTTAATGACCTGCAAAGAAGATTTTAATTAGATTTTTCATTTCCTTTTACTGAAAGAACAGGTAATATTGGATGTTTAAAGAATAATTTTGGATACAGTAGATTGGGGGAATAAAGACTAAGAATTAGTATAGGGATATATCTGTGATGTCATAATACTTTTGTTGAGTTGTTAAATTTAACTTTGTTGAACGGAAAATGACTTTTATTAAGTGTTAGTTTTAAATAGTCTAATTCAGTCATCAGAGGTTTGTAAATCATTAGGGATATTAAAAAGTTAATTATCTAAAGTTACGTGCCTACCTAACAACTAAATAGTGCCAGCCCTATCGAAAAACTCTGTTGTCCCTATATGTAACCTGATTCACCCCAAAGTTAAGGTGAATCGGGTCAAGCTAGTTTTTTTCAGTTTTTGTGTATATTTTTGTAATGAAATATGTATAATAACGCACCGTATATTAAAATTTAACCCTCCGGAACCGTTTTAACCTCTATTTTATTGGTAATTACCCTAACCATTGAAAATTTGTGTCGGATTTAGAAAGGGTCCCGATTTCCTCCAATCTACGGTACCGATTTTTCTTTCTAAAGTCTCGCAAAAGTGACACTGCTTCTTCTTATCAGTTTCGGGTAATAAATATTTAGACGTACTGTTTTATTGTTTCTAACAGCGGCATCTACTTACGTTAGCGGCTGCACAGGCATCACCGGGGATACCGGCAGATAGATGGGCGATAATTCCGGCGGTTTGGGCCACCGCTGATGCTTGACTTGCATAATCGCCCTGGCTGGCCATGTCCTTCAAGATCTCTTGAACGTTGAGGATGGCGATGCTTTTGTCAGTGTCATCGACGTAGTCCCATGCACGTGAGATTACGGAACTAAAATTATAATAATTATTATATTAACACTTGAACCATGATTGAAAAGTTTTGTGCAATAAAAACATAGTTTAAAGAAAGGATACTGTGAGCTTTGCCTGTTACAGTTTTGAAGCAGCAAAACGATTTCGATGTAATAGATTTCAATGCAACAGGCAGTTTAAATTCTAGCCTCAAGATAGTCGGTGCCATTGACGTCGTGATGTCTATTATCACTAGATGCACTGTGACGATTAGCTTCATACTTGCGATTCGTATTATATAGTCTGCTTCAAACGATGTGTAGACCGTACAACTCCCAGATTTTCCGATACCCAAATTAGATTCAAAGACACATGGCAATAGGATTTCGTCTTTGTGACAGAATACTCACGTCCATTCTCTTCCCAAATAAAATGACGTAACTGACTATGAGTTAAGGCCTATACGATAACTATGAGTACTCTGCTTTCCGAGATGATAGAGTGGTTTATCAATATCCTGTTCCTAGAGAACTTGGCCTAACTTGATAGGTCTCAGTTTATCAGTAACTGTCTTGGTCATGGAAGTTCAGATATCGATCACTCACTCATCGAGGCCTGGGAGGGTCAAGGGATTTTGGGTGAGACTCTTTTCTCTCCAATATAAAGACTTTTAATTTCTATTTGGCGTACGGAATTTCTATCTTAAATTGAGATAATTCTGTTTGACTCCATACAGAAGGATCAGTCAGAGCTTCTGGAGTTAAGATGGGATTTTGATTTCCTTTGTATTTTTTACTCTTTACCATAGGCAGTGTTCTGAGGAATTTGTCAATTGAGGTGAATCACACAACTCAGCAACGGAGAAGAGATAATTCCTACTTCTTAAAGCCACTTGACTACGATCATTTACAGTGCATTCTCGGTGTACATTTTTGCCATGTAATCCTGAAATGATTCACCCTCTATGGCGCAGATCGAGCGCTATAACATTTCCTTCTTTAAATGGGGTTGGAAAAGAGTCTAGTGTCAGTTCGTGTATGTGTCTTTGGCACTGCTGATATGGTCTGTGACGGTGATAATTGACCATTCCATTGACCGTATTTTCATATTTTTTAAAAAGTAATAAAAAAATAATGAAGATATTTTAGTCGAAGTCGTCGTGGTCTATTGCGGAAGACGCTCAGTGCGTTTGCCTCTGCCGGATTATAATTAGACCTATATTAATATTAGTTAAAGCTTACATAATTACCTAGCTTTTCCATCATCAATGTCGCGTGGAATTTCATTATCACTGTATTGATTGATGGTCACCGATGGTGCAGCGTAGGCGCTCTGCGAAAAATCAAATTCGGGTTTTGATTTAAATGATATAAAATAAATTGTTTTTCGTGGGATTTTTCTTTTGAGGCTTAGAGCGAAGAGCTTTGTCGCTCCCCCGATCGATGTGTCAATGAGACCAGGTACGCCGGGAGCTCATCTAGAGCTAATTTTTGTTTACTTAATGGTCAGGTTAGATTAACGGGTTATAGCGGAGAATCGAATTTCAGACGGCCTACTCCATTCTAATGATTATTATATTATCATTCTAGATGGAGTTCGCGTTCGATCTCACGTTAAATAGCGCTCGGAGGCAAACAAATTCACATGAGACCTTGAGACATGAGGTTGTAATCTGAGTATTATTATATTGTTTCATCTTGGAAAGTGTATTATTTCGCCACAGTAATAGGCATACGAAGGATATTCGTGCGAGCTCGCAATAAACTATTTCACTTTAACTACATACGCGATGATATTCTTTTGGTGAGGAAGCTATTTTTATTTTTTATTTTTTTTATTGCTTAGGTGAGATTACGAGATGACAGCCCACCTGGTGTTAAGTGGTTACTGAAGCCCATAGACATCTATAATGTAAATGCACCACCCATCTTGAGATATAAGTTCTAAGGTCCCAAATATAGTTAAAAGTGCTGCCCCACCCTTCAAACCGAAACGCATTACTGCTTCACGTCAAAAATAGGCAGGGTGGTGGTACCTACCCGTGTGGACTGACAAGAGGTCCATCAGTAAAGCTAGTTCGTAAACGCATGGTAGGTATTTCCGTAAAAAACGGTGACTGCGAGAAATGACAAAGATAAAATTTTTATGTTTTGTGTTTCCTTTTGTTTTTACCAAACGAACGAACAGACGTTATAAGCGAACCTTAAGAATCTTTAGCAATGTTTTTCTAGAGAATTTGATAATAATTAAATCGTCCGTGTTCACGAAAACGCTAAAGTATTTGTCGTGGCGTGTGACCTTTTTGACAGGACATAAGACCTACAATGACTAGACATAGACAAACTAAGACAGAGATTTGAAAATAATTCGAAAATAAATGGAACGAGGGCGTACGTGACCAGCGGCACGGCAGTACATTTTTTGACTTCTGAAAAGACAGACATACAAAAAGACGAAAAAGAACGAATTGACCCTTCTTATATAAGATGTTCAAGTGACCTTCGACCGTTCAAGTAGTCATTCGACCGTTCAGTATTCGAAAAACAGGAAATAATATAATGACAGTTAAAAACGTGAAATAAAACCGTAACAGTATTTTTAAAATTAATTATATCTTAATGTAGCACATTGAGATTATATCGCAGAATTATCTGAACTAGAGGTCCCGCAGTAGTCGAAATTCGACTATAATTAATTGGAATTGTAAGTTTGTACACTATTATGATTGTATTTTATACTTCGCCAAGAAATTTTGCCAAGACTACACTATAAAAAATATTATCAATGACAAACAATATTTAATCTATCCTCAATTTGACAACAGACGTCAAGAACAAAAGTTTGACAATAAATAGTATGCACTATGCATGCGTGTGTGCGTCAAATATATGGTATGTAGTGTGTGTAATGTTTTCTTTATTGATTTAATGTATCTTTTATGCATTATTTAAAAAAAAAATTAGCATTGTGCACTTCTTCTCTATATTCCCTATAAGTGTGGAAAATTTCATTCTACTCCGTCCGCGCAATTGTCGTAAAAAGGGATACAAAGTTTTTGCTTCACGTATTAATTATATAGATTCGTTATCTCTTATGTATATGTTATTTAATTGCCATTCATTACTGAAGAAACATCAAATAATTCACTCATGATTCCAAGCTAATTTCCCCGCCAAGAAAAGTCGTCAGTATTTTTGTGTTCGCTCTGCAAATCTGAGTATCCTGACACGCGAATCCGGTACGAAACGCTTCGCCGCGATGTACCGGTATATCCTGCGTTTGACGTATGAAGCCATCTTGAGGAATGACAAGGCGAGAGAAATAAATATTTCCATTGTGTACCGAATAAAATGCACGGTTGTTTTGCTTTAGGACTTGTGTGTCAGCTCGTTCGCAGTAAGACACAATCCGATCATGATTTTGTATTTAGTGTCTTCTGCGAATTTCATTTTAACCGATTTGTCATCATCATTTCATTACGATATATACGCATTTGAATGTAGATGAAGTGGAAATGGCTCTGGGGTGCGATGGCCTCTCTCGATACCTCATTATCTATTTGGTTTTAAAAGTCGTCGTGGCCTAAAAGATAAGACTTTCGGTGCATTCGTATCTAGCGATGCACCGGTGTTCGAATCCCGCAGGTGGGTACTACTGGTGGTTGAATTTGAATTTGAATTCGTGTAATAAAAATCAAACCTGTAAAATTATCATTTGCGTAATTACTGGTAGTAGGACCTCTTGAGTCCGCACGGGTAGGTACCACCACCCCGCCCATTTCTGCCGTGAAGCAGTAATGCGTTTCGGTTTGAAGAGTGGGGCAGCCGTTGTAACTATACTGAGACCTTAGAACTTATCTCAAGGTAGGTGGCGCATTTACGTTGTAGATGTCTATGGGCTCCAGTAACCACTTAACACCAGGTGGGCTGTGAGCTCGTTCACCGATCTAAGCAATAAAAAAAACAATTAAAAAAATTATAAACATAATTAAAATAACTTAATTTTAATCTTTAATTTTAAGGTTTAATCTCGCTGGTTTTATTTACAAGACTAGCGACCTGCCCTCGCTTCGCTTCGGAAAAATTAAAACACACATGAAACCAAAAAAAAAAAAAAAGTAGCCTATGTTCATCAGGGACAATGTCGGCTTCTAATGGAAAAAGAATTTTTCAAATCGGTCCAGTAGTTTCGGAGCCTATTCGAAACAAACAAACAAACAAATCTTTCCTCTTTATAATATTAGTATAGATATAGATAATTCCGAAGTTTCAATCACTCTACAGTTATCTTGGTCACGAACGAAGTAAAAAAAAAAACAAGATTAAATCGTAAAAATGATATTTTTTTGACATTATATCCATTGAACATCCAATTGAAGTCCGAACATTTCAATTCTACGGAATGAACGCGCTTCAGGCACCTAATCAGACCCGTCATCCTCAAAGCCAATTTCAATTTTCCACAGTCCGCACTTCACACGATCACGCATTCCTCATACATATGTAATTCACATATAAATTTGACGTTAAATTTGAATTTTGATTTCACGGAATACATTTTTATAGGCAGATAGGCAAATAGGCCAAGTCACGTTCTTACGGATCCATCAGATCCAATAACCTTTGCATTAGACACCTTCAGCTCTAATACTAGGAGCAGGCTTAAGGACCCTGGTAACCGTACTCGTCGAACTCGACAAAGAGGTCGACGTGCAACCTAACCCATGCATTAGCCCGCTGAGTTTCTCGCCGGATTTTCTGAGCGGGTCGCGATTCCGATCCGGTAGTAGATTCATTCGCGAAGCAATTGCTCTTGAGTTGTTAGGTCTCCTTTGGAGGCGCTCGGGCAGTTGTTAGCAAATCCCACCCTCCTGGCTGAGCCATTGCTCGCGCACCTGTCCTGGTGAAACTGGAAAGGCCTTCGGGCCACCAGTAATCTTTCAAACACAAAAAAAAGAAGGCCAAGTGAGCTTATGGCTCGCCTCAGCTAAGCCGTTACCGTAGCTTATAGACGGCATGAATGCAAAAACCTTGAAAGTACCTTGTCCAGGTAGCAATCGTTTCAAAACTACCTCACTCTTCGAATCGTGGTGTGATTGAAATAGGCAAAACTATGATACCTACCTGTAGCGGCTTACAATTTGTGCACACACTGTTAACGGAAAGCTTAAAAAATTTGGTGGTTTGATTTTTATTACGTGTTGTAATTCTTTCATTGTGAAAATTATACTGTCTTAGTTACCAATTATTTATTGAGAAAAGAGTGGGCGTCTTTAAGCATCCTTGAATTTGAATAGGGGCATAGTCGCATCAGACGATACGATTACACTAGGCTTCTTATAAGTAAAAAAATAATTAAATGTCAGATCAAACTGTAAAAGCAGTTTATATTTAACTAGCGGCCGGCTCCGGATCCGCTCGGGTCTTTAACAAAAATTTCAACGATATTTGAAGTTGTTTTATTTAAAAAAATAAAAGAACACTTCGTGCGGCATAACTATAATAATTAAACATATGCTGTCGCGACACTTTTTGTAAATAATAATGTGTTCTACAAAGTCGTAGTACATTATTTTATTCTATCATCAATAGTTTTCGCAGGGCACGCGATGTAAAGAGTATTTAAGGTATTTTTTTTACACTTTTGGTTACATTATTGGAGTTTTAGTAAGGATCCTTAATTTTTTCAAAAAATATTATAGCCTATGTCACTCGGGAATAGTGTAGCTCCAAACAGTGAAAGATTTTTTCAAATCAGTTCAGCAGTTTCGGAGCCTATTCAATACAAACAAAAAAACAAATCTTTCCTCTTTATAATATTAGTATAGAAGTATAGATAAGCAATTGGATGTGATATAATAAGACAGAGGAGAAGCGAAACAAGTCGTAGGGCATAATACTAACGTTTCTAAGTATTTACGTCGGAGTATTTCCAATTTGGAAAGTTTCACCGCACGCTTCGGATAATATTTCTATATTCAAAACACGCAACACGTTGTTCATATAAAATATGCTGTCAGATTACTTAATGACGGGCTTAGGGATGGTTTTAATATTTACGTTTTGCAATTTACGACATATTTATTTCAAGGGACTCGTTTAGTACGTAATATATTACTGGTGGTAGGACCTGTTGTGAGTCCGCGCGGGTAGGTACCCCTGCCCTGCCTATTTCTGCCGTGAAGCAGTAATGCGTTTCGGTTTGAAGGGTGGGGTAGCCGTTGTAGCTATACTTGAGACTTTAGATCGTATATCTCAAGGTGGGTGGCCCATTTACGTTGTAGATGTCTATGGGCTCTAGTCACCACTTAACACCAGGTGGGCTGTGAGCTCCTCCACCCATCTAAGCAATAAAAAAATAAAAAATAAAATTATTATAAAATTTTATAGAAACTAATAATATAATTCTTTTATCTCCTACCTATTCGCTGGGAGCCTAAGGTGCTATTATTTTTATACGCGCGGACGGGACGGTGAGCTCACGGGCTAAGCCTGAGAGAATTTGCTAACACCGGCTCTAGCAGGAGCAGTGCTTCGCAGAATCCACCATCAGATCGAAATCGGGATCCAGTGCGAAAATCCGGTGAAAAGCTCAGTGGGTTTTCTACGGGCTAGATCGCATGTACGCAAACCCTTTGAAACTGATACTGATACTGATACTGATACTAATACTAATACTAATACTAATACTAATACTAATACTAATACTAATACTAATACTAATACTAATACTAATACTAATACTAATACTGACTCTGATACTGACACAGATACTGACACAGATACTGATACTGACACTGACACTGATACTGATACTGATACTGATACTGATACTGATACTGATACTGATACTGATACTGATACTGATACTGATACTGATACTGATACTGATACTGATACCGATACTGATTACTGTTCCCTAATGTTTCCACTAACTAGTGTCGAACTCGACATGGAACTCTTACGTCAATGTATTATTTACATCACATTTTATTTATTCTACTATAATTATTTGAATTCACATGTATCTATACTTGAGACCTTAGAACTTATATCTCAAGGTGGGTGGCCCATTTACGTTGTAGATGTCTATGGGCTCCGGTAACCACTTATCATCAGGTGGGCTGTGAGCTCGTCTACCCATCTAAGCAAAAAAAAAAAGTGGGTGGCCACACCGCTCCAGCCATGGGCCGTGTCCTAGATATTATTATTGTGTCCAATTTGAGTAAATATTTCATTGTTTTTAATACACGATTTAAATAATTAATCCTAATTGGCTAACAAAGTTCTGAGAAATAACTGTTTTTAAATTTTTCGTGCGAATTGAGATATACTATCAGTTTTCCGCGAAACTTATCGTGGTTCAAAAATTTTATTTAACGACCGAACTAACTGAGTATATTGAAAATAATATTAAAACTATTTTATAAATATGTATATAAAATAATTTCATAAATAATCTATACTATAATAATATTATAAAGAGGAAAGATTTGTTTGTTTGTTTGTTTCGAATAGGCTCCGAAACTACTGGACCGATTTGAAAAATTCTTTTTCCATTAGAAACCGACATTGTCCCTGATGAACATAGGCTACTTTTTTTATTTTTTATTTTATTTTCTTTTTTTGTTTCATGTGTGTTTTAATGTTTCCGAAGCGAAGCGAGGGCGGGTCGCTAGTATTTTATAAAATTATTAAAAATAATAAAACGTATATTTTAATGCACCTACCATTATTCATTCTGCCCTAGTTTTGGTTGACTGGTAGAGAATGCCTTAAGCATTAAATCAGCCCATGTAGATATTACATGAAGTGTAATAAATAAATGAATAAAACAGTATATTCAAATGCTTATATTAGAACAAACTACTGCATTACTGCTTCACGGAAGAAATAGGCAGGGCGGTGGTACCTACCCGTGCGGACTCATAAGATGTCCGCTCCCATGATCTTATGATCTTTTTATTTTTTTTATTTTTTATTGCTTAGGTGAGTGGACGAGCTCACAGCCCACCTGCTGTTAAGTGGTTACTGGAGCCCATAGACATCTACAACGTAAATGCGCCACCCACCTTGAGATATAAGTTCTAAGGTCTCAATTATAGTTACAACGGCTGCCCCACCCTTCAAACCGAAACGCATTACTGCTTCACGGCAGAAATAGGCAGGGTGGTGGTACCTACCCGTGCGGACTCACAAGAGGTCCTACCACCAGTAAAACCAGTGATCACCGCTAATTACCTATCCGACCTAGGCGACGAAGCAACGCAAAACCACCTTTTCCCGAAGCATATCTTGTCGAATCCTGCGGATCCACATTCGGTGATTTTAGGATCTTCAAGAGTCGGTCACCGTTCTCGTCGAACTAGTCGATTAAGAGTTTGACGAGCGAACTTAATCCATGGACATGGCCCACTGAGTTTCTTGCCGGATCTTCTCAGTGGGTCCCGATTCCGATCCGGTAGTAGATTCTGCGAAGCAGTACTCTTGCTAGGGCTTGTGTTAGCAAATTCTCTCAGGTTGAACCCGTGATCTCACCTACCCGTTCACGTGAAGCTGGAATAGCTCTTTAGCCTACTAGCGAATAGGTAGGGATAAAAAGAGCTTAGAAGTCGTTGTGTCCTAAAGGATGAGACGTCCAGTGCATTCGTATCGAGCGATGCGACTGTACCGATGTTCGAATCCCGCAGGCAGACACAAGACACGCAGACTTTTGTAGTCGTCGTGGCCTAACGGATAAGACGTCCAGTGCATTCGTATCGAGCGATGCGACTGTACCGATGTTCGAATCCCGCAGGCAGACACAAGACACGCAGACTTTTGTAGTCGTCGTGGCCTAACGGATAAGACGTCCAGTGCATTCGTATCGAGCGATGCGACCGTACCGATGTTCGAATCCCGCAGGCAGATACCAATTTTTCTGATGAAATATGTACTTAACAAAAGTTCTCTATCTTCCACGATGAAAGAATAAAATCGTGTAATAAAAATCAAACCCGCTCTAACTGTTATATAATTTCGTTATATTCAAAATCTGGTCTAATAGAACCAAGCATTAGAATATTGGTATTTCCATTTGGTGCCCTACATTGTGATAGTTGTGGGCTCGGGCAATGAACAAAATGAAATAAAAAGTAGGAAACATATCTGTCGACTTTGGAAGTTATTGTTACAACTAGCGAAACGCCCTCGCTTCGCTTCGGAAACTGTAATTTATTATTGATTTCTCCCCTATTTAATGGATGTTATTATACATATAAACCTTCCTCTTCAATCACTCTATCTATAAAAAAACCGCATCAAAATCCGTTGTGTAATTTTAAAGATTTAAGCATACGTAGGGACAGATATAGGGACAGAGAAAGCGACTTTGTTTTATACTATGTAGTGATTGCGATACCGTGAATGCCGGCCATTCCGCGCATAATTTTATTTTTAATTTTTCTTACTTAATTAACGTCTTAATTTTTGAAATCGCTTCGAGCGCGATTCACGTATAGAATATTTTTTTATTAACAATGTCACAATGCAGTCAAATATTTTTTTCATAAATACACTGCTTTATAAAAATCGTAAGCAATACTAAAATAAAAGTAAATGTAACTATATATTATGTCATAGTCAAAAACTAATTAATAAGAATTAATTGTCTACGCTCTAGCTAGACAATTGTTTTCTCTTTTATCTATGAAAATATACACGAAAACATATTTTCCATATTGTAGGGAATCCACAAATACACAAGTTGAACAAACAAAAAAAAAACAGAACGAAAGTTCTAGAATTGTAAAAATTGTTTGAAAACGTGGTGAGTATATATTCTAAATAAATTTGAAAAAAGTTAAAATTACTTACTGTAGCGACGAGTAATACCAAAAATATAGGCTTCATTTTAGTGGTCTGTTATGTGACCAATCGGTATATACTATACAGGATTCCGTGATTAATGTTCCACTATTTATATATAAAAAGACAATTAAAATAAATATCAAACAACTGTACCAACGAACGCTGACAGCATCTAACGTTCAAAAGATTTTGCATTTCAGTTAAAATTGACTGTGCTTTATTATTGCGATTTTAAGGTTTAGTTTCTAATGAAGATGATTTCTTGAGGTGTACGCCTCTAGTTAAACTAAGTGTTGCTCGAAACAAAGCGATCTAATTGATCCGATTGTTCTTATATTTGTTCGCATCGAGAATTAACGCAAATTTAACTGTTGAATATGTAACAATGTGGAATTAAAATGTTTTGTAGTGTTAACGTCGTCTGTTATGTCAATGTCGGTAAATGACATTTTAAATAATTCATATAATTATTCTATGCATGTTTTTTTTTTTAATTTAAATTATTGAAGTTATACTTCTTTAGGCACGTTATGAAAAATCTATGAGAGTGAAATTTTACGATGCGCGCGCACCGTGACACAAAATTAACAGAATGAAGTTGCCCACTAAATCGCTCATTACAATACGACTGACGTAACTTGGCGAGTCTGAATATAGCCGCAGGTGCACTTTCCGAACCGTACCGAGAATTACCGAATTTATACGATGTCAAGAAAAGGGATGTCCAATATGCGTGTTTGAGGATGTTGTTTATTCGATTTTTTTTCAAATTGATTAAAATTGAAATAAAAAAAAAGAAATAAATTTAATGAAAATAAAGTATAACTTCTTACGCGCGTAGATAAGTACACGCACCCTTTTTTATATCATATCATTAATATATTAAACATAGAATCTCTCCAATAGTACTGCGTTATTATCGCGCTCAATCAATTCACGAGATGAATAATTTTTAGCGATTACTTTCTTAGTTTTAATTTTCACTTCGGTGTACTTTTGCGTCATTATTTTTGTTGTTTCCTGAAATTAATTTTTCAACTCACCGAAAACACTTATTTTCTTTGTCTGGATCAAAAAAAGTGGGATAGGCACCACTTTGTTATTTGATTTCGTCTGAATGTTACATACGCTTATCAGGTCTATTCTAGTCGATAAAATTGGACCTTGAACTAACTTGGATATAAAATAGGAAAAGGAGCATAATAGCGTCTCGGGAAAGTTGAGATCGCATTTCAGTTTCGGATTGAAAGCTGGATAGGTTAGTAAATTCTAAATAGTGAACACTCATCTCTTCCTGATGCTTTATCGTCACTTGCAATGTAGCAGTAGGTTATATATAAGACTTGGCTTCGGCCTTATCGAAATTTTTATTTCAGGAAGAAATTATTATAGGACCTGGCTTCGGCCTTAATGAAATTTTTATTTCAGGATATAATATAAATCGTATAAAACCTGGCTTTGGCTTTTTTGAAAATTTATTTCAGAAATTATATAGAACAGACAAGGCTGTATGGGCTTAGATCCCCTTGCCTTTCCTAATAAGGAAAAATTGTACCAAAAAGTAAAAGTAGCAGTACGACTAAAAGTGAGGTATGAGGTAGGAGGTAGCGAAAAGTGATGGATGGCTATTTATTAGTGGCTATCGAAGCAGTAATAGTAACAAGTTCCTAAACTGTTCATTTAGTGAATATCCGTATCATTAGACAGTTTTTTTGTAAAATATTATTGGTTTTCCACTTAGTTATTTATAGGTTTAGTTCACTGGTATTTCAACTTCAGATATGGTTGCTCTACACCCTGTATATTAGATATAAATCCCGTTGCCATTTTCTTACTCAAGTACCCTGAAATTCTACTTATATTTATATTCAATAAGACTACATTTCTTGGGAGTTAGTTTTCCGAAGATTTATGAAACAACAGTACACTCGACGAAGTATTATTGAAGTCTTACAAAGTCAAATTGCGAACGAAGGCTGGGGTATGAGTTGAAGCGATCAATGTTAATGTAATGTTAAAAAGTGTTCGTTTCTTTTTTAAAAGAACCATCCAAACATATTCATATAAATATCATATGTGTGTATTTATATACCTATGTGTGTACATGTATGTATATCTAATATATAAAATTCTCGTGTCACAATGTTCGTTCCCATACTCCTCCGAAACCGCTTGACCGATTCTCATGAAATTTTTTATGCATATTCAGTAAGCCTGAGAATCGGCTACTATCTATTTTTCATACCCCTAAGTGTTTAGGGTTGTCCACCCCTAACATATTTTTTTTATTTGGACTTTTTTTTTTGTTATAATGAGGTATTATGTGGTTGAATGAAGTTTTGTTATTTTTATTATATATTCCCTCATCGTTCACAGCACTACATACCTCTTTCACTCATTTACCACATCCTTACACACTTACAATAAGTTAGTTTTTTTTCTACACTAGAAATTCCCTAGAAATCTTATATATGGTAAAACAATGTTTGCCGGGTCAGCTAGTGTGTATATATTTTTGTGTATGTATTTGTAATTTAATATAAATTTCATTGCATCTACCGCTATTATGATATGTCCTTCTTCAAAAGAGTCTTGTGGAGGGTATTAAGCGGTAGGCAGCGGCTTGGCTCTGTCCCTGGCATTGCTGAAGTCCATGGGCGACGTTGCCCACTCACCATCGGGTGGGCCGTATGCTCGTCTGTCTACAAGGGTAATAATTTTTTTTTTTCTCCACTACCTTTGGTTGACCGGTAGTGAACGGTATTAAGTTCGCCAATGTAAATTTTATACGAAATGTAATAATTAAAGAAATAAATATTCGCGAATTTGTTGGAATACTTTTTTTTGATTCGCCGCATAGCAAATAACAGAAGTGTATAATTTTATTTTTTCGTATGGCCAAGTTGCTTTATGTATAAGTACTGAAAGTGGTGACCAACAGACTCATGAGCAATCTTAACTTGCGCGATTACCGGAATTCATAGTCATCACAATTTATTTGACAGTTTATCCTCGTCTCCTAGTCTGAGCGTGTTGTTGCTTCGTAGTCAAAAATATAATGATATTAACGAGTGGAGAATAAATCTAGATTTACTACATTAAAATAACATCATAGATAATGCTTAAGATGGGTGGATTTCCTTTTTCACCGTTCACGCCGCCGCAGATTTCATATATACTGTTTACCTACTGCATTTATCCATAGAACGTTCCCAAATATTTTTTGTGCCAAGTACCATCTGGCTTTGGAATGAATTACCGTCCACGACGGTTCTTGAGCACTATGACCTGTACTTCTTCAAAGGCTTAAGGGGAGTTTTCAGCTTTAGTCAGTGGCTTGACTGTGTCCCTTGGGTTTTTGAGGTTTGATGAGCCACCATGATGGTATATCTCACCACTCACTTACCTCTGTCTTAAAAACGAATACACGGGTTAGCTAGAAGTCTTACAGAAACTGTGTGCTTAGTGCGAGTTTCATAACGTTCTCGATAGCGTAAAAGTTAACCCAATTTTGTATGCAGTTGGAACAGCGCCCCTAGCGGCAAACGTACGCAAACGATTCCGTTCCATACAAATATGAGCTAACTTTCACGTTATCGAGAACGTTAAGAAACTCGCACTAAGCACATTGATTAATAATAATTCCTATTAAATTAAACGCCGTATCTCGGACACCACCTCCCTAGAGCACAGCTTGCAGATAAATCTGTAGATTATCCAGTCTCCCCCGCGGGATCTCCTTTGTGTACGAGATCGGGAGCTCGGCTAACAAAGAGACTGAAAGGTGGAATGGCAACAGTAGGACGAAGTGTCCTTTTGCCTGATAAACTCACGTGGAGCATTTTCGTTGTTTAAGTTGCTGTTAATGGATGCTACAATGTTTACTTGCTCTTAAGGACTGACGGAGCCCTAATTTTATTAGGGCTGTCACATTTGGTAATGGTTAAACAAAATTTCTCTTTTTATAGAAGAAGATCTTGCTTAGAGGTGCCTTTTTGAATAGTCCATTTTCAATACTAATTCGACCTCTCCATTTTTGAAGGACCGTTTTGGTTTAATGGGCCATGACTAGCAACTACAGCTTACTCTGTAATTTCTTATGTGATGACGTCATTTACGGTACCATGAGAGATATGTAATAATGAACCTTTATTCATTTTGTTGATTGTATGGTGTTGCAATGTGATAGTTCACAGAAAACTGGTTTTAAAATGAGATATAGTGGTAGTATTGACTGTGGTACCCAACACCTTGTCCGAGTTCTGTCTAGGGTGGTGATCTAGCGTTGTCACTGCACGCCCAAGAGTGCAGGGGAGTAGTTTAGTGCGTGGGCGCCTACTATTTTCAGCCCTGGCCTGTATCAACTTCGACCAACGAACGACATTTCTTGCGTCCTCTTAGCCCGGGTACCTGGCAAGAGGTTCGCCCCAGGCAAAAAAAAAGAAAAAAGGGACGTTTTGGAAGCCTGCAAGAGAAGATATCAACATCCAGTCTATTACAGATGCAGTCATGGGTAATAATAATCTTTAGCTACCTTGTGTCTCAAGATGGGTAGCGGTTTTGTAGCCTCTAATTATTTATTTATAAAATGTAAATTTCGTTGGCAGTTCGAATTATCATTATTGTGTCATCCGAAAACGATCGATTTAATTTGGGCCGTGAAAATATTTTTTGCTCCGAGTTTCTTAGAATGGAGGGTAGATAAGAATTGAACGAACAGATTTGTACATATTTTGCGTTTACAGTATTTACATTAGAAGGAATTTGTTTGCTGCTGCCTGACGGAATAGATGATGGCTTAAAATTGAAAATCAGATATTGGCAAAATTGTTAACGCTAAATATTAAGGTTAACTTTATTTTTGATCATAGTTAGAATGATTTTCAAGTAGTCGTGATCGGATAAGATGTCCGGTGTACTCATATTATCAATTGTTGCGACTGTGTCGGTGTTCGAATCCCGCAGGCAGGTACCAATTTATCTGATGAAATACATACTTAACAAATGTTCACGAGTGGCTTCCACGGCGAAGGAATAACATTGTGGTGGTAGGACCTCTTGTGAGTCCGCACGGGTAGGCACCACCACCCCGCCTATTTCTGCCGTGAAGCAGTTA